ATAAGAAATGATTTTACAGACCTGTAAAATAAAGCTTTATCAAAACAAAATTACACAAAATGTATGTGGACGAGGTCCCTGCTGCACACATAGCTAATAATCTTGATGTTTTTAGAAAGTGTAAATGTTCCTTTGTGCATTAAGGACCTCTGACCTGGTTCCTGTTATTGAGAGGGAAATTGATTGCGTAAGAACTGATCATGAAACCTCGCTGTCCTTCAGGGAGCTGCAGGGACTTATTCTCTCTGGGGGATGCGGAGGAGTAAGGTACAGTTATATAAGAGTGAAAAAAATACATAGCAGATATAGCTGCTCTATCCATCGATGGTTATGAGACCAGCGTTTGATGTTCTGCACTCTCCATGCTAGATGCTCACACAGGGAGCTTTTATAAAGCATTAGTACCTTCACATGCTTATTTGCTGGTATCTGGATAACATGAAGCAGTCAATAACATGAAAATCTTTTATTTTCTTCAGTTTTCTGAAGAATGTGTTTCTGAAGTTAGTTCAACTTCAGTAGTTGTTTTATTGATATTTGTATTTATTGGTAATATTAAGAAGATGTCGGGGGTGGTGACATGAGCTGTATCTGAGCACAGAAAGTCTCAGGCACCTAGTGGGAGATTTTATCAAGTACATTTTTTTTATGACTCCCTCAGATCTTTATGTTTAAGGAACAGTTCTACATTTTAGGACTACTTCTGATAGTGAGATGAGAATATTGATTCCAATCTCAATTTGTAAATAGTATCTAAATCATAAGACTGGGAAACTCTGAACGTTTGGATATATATCTGACTCTGCACAAGTGCCTGAAAAATGAAACAAACGTCGATGCCTCACAGTTTGAAGGTTATTATACCTAAATTTAATGGATATAGTGCTATATTGTCAATGCATAGTAGCCAATTTTTAACCCTTACACCACTAAAACTCATACATCATACAACCATCTTGAGTTGCTCAACAATGAATGCTTGGAAGCTGTAAAGATGGGGATATTACCATCCGTCCAATATGACATAAACACAGCATTACACACAGTTATGAGATTCAGACTCTGATTCAAAATGTTGAACTATTTCTTTAAGAATACATGTGAAATGCTTTGCAGCTGTAAAAGCAAATGACCCCAATCTCTTTAGACTTCTATAGCATTCCTTTGCTATTCTGTTAAAACACCTAAAGACTGACTGAATATTTCAGGCATTAACTAAATCATCCTACCCTGTTATCATCACCCTGTTGCCAAAATAGCTCAGGCACAATGAGTCATTCATCATGCTCTAAACACTGGTATTCAGACTGTTGTTGGGGGAAACTGCTCTTTGCAGAACCACACAGAGATAAAGAGCCACTCAAGCCTTTTAATTATTCTTCACAACCATTTGTCATTCCATATAATACAGTCGTTCTTTATCAAATAGGTGATTCCAAAGCAGATGCCTTTGTGGTAACCAAATAGTTTCCCAAGGCCAAATTAATGGGAGCATTTGTACTTGACTGCCTGTAGATGTGAGGTTAGTTTTGGGTGTGATACATCCATTATTTCACAATAAAACTATGTGAAGTGATCCCTATATTTTAGACGATTATCTTCAGGACTGTTGTGTTTTTGGGGAGCAGTGGGGGATGAATTTAACATTACCGGCACTTCTGATTTTTATCCACACGTTTAACGCCACCTCTGGTGAGCATGCCTAAAAGAAAACAGCCCAGAAAATGTACTTTTTAAAAAGGAAAAGGTCATGTTGTGTTTAGGGTTGAGCTAAAATATAGCACTGGCACCTTTTCTGGTCCAGTTCAGACACTGCTTTATTTCATTTCTTTCTTCCACTTGTAAAATAATACACATTTTAAAGGTTCTCTGTAAAGGTTGTGTTGCTCATGGTGAGCGTGAAGCGTGACAGCACTGATTTGCTTCAACGTCACTGAAGCACTGAATCACTGTTATGTTCAGCTCTGTGTTTATGACATTTCCAGACTATGCTGTTACTGTTAAGGGCGACTGTACAATGCATGCATCTATCAGGACTGGTTTAGAGAGCAGACTGATTTTTTTTAGAGACAGATTTAACCATTGCAATATATTTACATATATCACAGACTAGGATAAATCCCTAGTTTATGCAGCTGTGATTATAACCTCTCACTATATTGTGCCTATGCATTGTAAAGAGAGCGTCTTGTGTATTTTCTGACCTTGCTGTGTGAATAGCGAACCGTGATAGCAGCCTACCATACATCACTGTCAGAGCACAGACTGTTCCAGCCACATGCAGGTAATCTATTTGTCCCGGTAAAATATGGTGTAATTTGTCCCAGGTTTCTTGCAAGCCCAGCAGAAAAGGCAACGATTTGAGCTGCATCTTATGCATATGTGGTATTTCCCGGGTAGTGGTGCCTGAAAGCATGCACCCTTTCTGTGTCTGTGATTCACATTGTCCTCTTATATCCAGTTTTTACTTTAGGTGTTATTTGCTTAATTTAAATGGATAGAAAATAAGGCACTCTTGTCACAGTGTGAAGACCTACAATGCATGACAAGATTCAAATTGATTGTGGTCACTTCACAAGTTTAATGGCATGTAGTTCTACTGAAAGCTAGTTCTGAGATCAGTCCTCTCTATTCTTGGACCATAATAACATCCTGGCTCTCACTATCGTCATCGTGCTGTAGTTTCCGGTTATATAACATTATGTAACTTTATGATTTTCAGCTTTACTTAAGGATGTAGTTGGTGGATCAGCAGACTTTTACATTAATTCGAAGCCTTTTAGTGCTGTGCGTCACTTAAAGTGCATCTCTTTATTATGGCATTTGCTTTGGCTAAGAAATATGAAGTGTAGATCTGGATAACTGCTATTTATTCATCTCAAGCAAAGGGTGTCATATGAGAGACTGAGATGGAAATCATAGCCATGAGAGTTCACAATCAGATCATGAGAGCAAAACATTGCTGTTCTCTTAATGGGTCTTTATGTCGGTGCTGGGTCAGCAGTGCATTAGAGGAACATTTCCTTATGTAACAACCTTCCTACCCCGCAGAAATCGTCAGCATATCTTCAACAGCTTAATGGCTTACAAGAGAGTGGGAGGGAGGGAGGAAATAAAGTTTAAACAAAGAATGAGAAAGTTGTGTTTCTGGGTCAAATCACAATCAAATTGTTGTGAGATTGAATCACTGTTTCAATCCTAGCTGTGGCTGGATCCACACATTCAGATAAGCTTTCATGTCTGGGTTGGACACAGATGGACTTCACAGAGATGTAAAAGATACTGTACTGTACACATCCATCCTCAAGAGTCCCATTTCTGGACATGTTTGGGAAACAAGCAAATCAATCAGTGTCAATTAGAGCTGTGTTCAAAGCAAACCACATCCTGGGAGTCAGACACTTGTTCTGCACTTAACAGCAGGCAACGCAATTACGCTGCAAAACTCTCTAAAGTGCTCAGGGTCTGAGAGGATGAACCGACGCTTATAAAAGGCTCTTACTGTCTTTTATCTGTACCACTCTCAGGTACCCTCCTGAGCAGAGACTTTTCCCTGAGCATGAGAGAACAGAGCTGCACTGGAAGTCCTCTGTTTCACGTCCTTCATATTGTGATCCGTACCCTGCCAGACACCACAGTTCGGGATGCCATTCTACATAAGTACACTGATCTTCAAAGCCCCATTTCTGCCCCCCTTCACTGTTCATACTCTCATTTTTGATACCTATCTGCTGCGGTGGGGGCAGCAAGAGCTATACCGGTCCTCATTGATTTCTGAAGGAGAGTCTGTACAGTCACTTCCTCTCCAGCTGTCCTCTAAGAGGTGAGAGTGTTGCACTTTAACAGTGTCTGACTTCAGACTCTGAGACGTGGGCGCATAATCACATTTGACTTGCAGTGTGAATTACAGAAGCAGGTTGCGGATCCTTTCTCCCACATCGCTATCATGATGCTATATTTGATACGTAATTTGCATAGACACAACACACAGCGCTTGCATCAGTATAAACCTCAAGGAAATGAACATTCAGACAAAGACTGCAGAGGAAGAAAAGCCTCCCAGCTTTCAGACGTGTTGTTTAATTCTATATTATGTATGTTTTCATAATGTAAGAAGATGCAACAGTGAATACTGATACAAAACACAACATTTAGAATTTATTTTAAGATTTATTTGGGGTGATGTTTACATTTATTTCTATGGCAAGGCAAGTTTATGTATGTAGCATTAAGCATAGCATCATAACTAAAGGCAATTCAATGTGTTTCACATAATATGTAAAAGACATGAAATTAAAAAAACAAAATGGGGAGTCTTCTCAAGCAGATCACTGGCATGAGATTTTATTATTTTTTATCTGTTTTGGTGCATAAATATGTAAAAATGGAAATTTCAGAGCCGTCTTATCACTGTGTGGATGGATTGTTGGATTATTATAAACAATGAAACAGAACTATTTGTTCAGGAGTTGCTTTATATTTCTGTTTATTCTTTATAAATTGTTAATGTTTTTCTCTTATTTTTTTAGTCCAAATGCCAAATGTTGAATAGGAAATGTCTGTTCTTTGTTTGAAAGCTTGAGTATCACTTTGTTTTAAAGTGTGCATTAATATCAGTGATGTCATATTTTGCTTGCGTGCTTTGTGCTTTTGTGTCTTTGCTTTTTGAGTCATGACCAGTTTCTGTGGCAACATGATTTTGAAAATAGCCCCTCTCTAACGGCCCACTGCTGTCGCAAGTTCTGCAGGCAGCAGCCCACTCTTGATGCATGACTCATTCATTGCTCATTATCATCCCACTCTCATTTCATCCGAGGCTCCCCTGCTTGGCTATCTGATGGAGATGGTTGTGTGGGGGCGGGGTGGTGGCTACTATAAAGCCTGTGTATCCATGCTGGGATTGGCTGGTGGGATCCATTTAATCTGCTGTGACTACTACAGGGTCCGCCCCTGTACTCCTCCCCCTCGCTCTGCCCGCCCTGAAAGCATCCATACACAACAGTGTGCTGTCTCTGTTCCAAGGAGAATATCAGCTCTGCACAGGGAGGAGAGGATTAGTGCAACCACTCAGCTCATCTGCATACACGTTCCCAGAGAACCACATGAGCACCCAGGGCTGCACCTCTTTTGTATAAAAACCTGGCACTCCTATCACAGAGGCTCCACTTGATCTACTGTCACTGCTGTGAGAGGATTTAATAGGGACCACAGTGTTTTTTTTCCTTTCGACTCTTTTTAAAGATTTTTTTTTTGATACTTTAAATTTGCAATTTGTTGTCTGTGATGTCTCTATTTAATTGGGACAATGCAAGTAATATCATTTGATATAGACTTGCTCTGAACCCTTCATTTTTTGGGACTTTTTCCACTGAGTTTGTTGCTTGATCTGGTTTGGGAGACTGTAGCACCAGAATGCCATCTAGAGAGTCCTACGAGGTTCACAAGGAAGAGAAGTCCCTGGTGCAAAAGGCCAAGCGAGGAGAGGCCAATCAGGAGGATATTCTGGCGGCAGCTCTGGGGATGAGGATGGGGCCACAGAAACCTCCAGCCACTTTCTGGCAGCCACTTAAACTATTCGCCTATTCACAGCTCACCTCACTGGTCCGCAGAGCCACACTGAAGGAGAGCGACCGGACACCAAAATCAGAGAAAGTCCACAACTTCAAGGTGAGACTCGAATCAACTTAAAGAACTCTTGTCAGCTGTTTCACTTCCAAAATGTTGCTTTGATTTCATCATGTGTGGCCAGAGGGCTGCTTCTCATGCTTCCCTTGTGGGAGATGGGAGGAGAAGAAGGGGGGGAGTGTTACAGAGTGGGAGAGAGGGGATGAAAAACAGGGCTGTTTTGGTCTGTCCAGTGAGCCTTTATCAAAAGAAAATCTGTTGGGTGGTCTGTGGAGCACTGCTGTTAGTTTGAGCACCAGATGGAGAGATTAGGCCAATGGAGAGGGGAAACAGTAGAGGAGTGTATCCCTGTTTGGCTCCAACTCACACTCCTAATTTAGCTAGTGAATGGGATGGAGAGCAGCAGGTGAAATATTACCTTCAAGGCTTTCAAACTGCTGATGCTTACCAATATCTTTCTGCTGCTATGTTCTCTGTACAGCTGAATGTTATGTTTCAGCATTTTAGGAGTGTATAGTTCTTGTACTGAAAGCTCCTGCAGCTAAAGGATAATGTATAATTTAGGAGAAGAAGAGTATTTTATTGTATTAGTGTACCAACACATATTGGCTCTGACAGTTACATCATTCATCACCTGCATTTAAACCTTTTTATTGCCTATAAACAGGAATCATCAGTATGTATCACCTACAAAGCAAAGACGGATATCATCATATAAGTCGATAACGGCACAAATTGATTAGATACATGTTAAACTGTAAACATGAAAAGACTCCTAAAGAACTGTGAGATGACATCACTCCAGGTGATTGGGATAACCATTGATGATGGCTGACTGTTAAAGAACTTCTTCGGTTCATATTTTTTAAAACAATGATCACGATCATGAAACCAGCTATTCTTCACCAAAACACTGTGCCTGCTGTATCTGCTACTGACTGGATGCAAGGAAAACAGGGAGAGTTGTGGCTTGTTTTTGCTCCCAGAGGCCTCTCTGATTGGCTGGTCTGTTGTTACCTAGTGGAGCGTGGGGGCTCCCATTTCCTACAAGAGAAAGGTGGCCTTCTACTGTTTCCATAGCAAAATTTCCCTGACAACTTGCACCTGCCCTCTGGTGAAGTGTCAAAACCTGCTGTGCCATGATGGCAAAGCCTCCCCCGCACCAAGTCACCGCTGCACCCACCTCAATATTGTCAGTCTGAGGGTCTGTTTGAACAACAATCCTCCTCCACCTACAGATAATCCTCCTCTCCTGCCTCATTCAGGATGGCAGCAGCTACATCTCGGCTGGCTAAAGAAGGAGATGTGGGGTGTCTATGGCTGCAACTCCCCGCTGTTCTTTCTCTGTCTCGCCATTGCACTTCATCACTAATATCTGTCACTGTCTTCTTCTCTGTTGTAGGTCCACACCTTTCGGGGGCCTCACTGGTGTGAACACTGTGCCAGCTTCATGTGGGGACTGATGGCTCAGGGGGTCAAATGTGCAGGTACATCTTGTTCTTCAGGCTACATTAACACAGTCTTACATAAACAGCTTTATCACTTCACAGCGTCCTCTGATTACGTTCATGGTGTATAAAGTGAGCACTACTGTATATGGGTTACTTGGTTTTTAGTGCATCTGGAGGATTATTGAGTTTTAATCTAAAATCCCAACTGTAGTTTATGGATTAGGGGTTGTATAATAGAGTAAAATGGGGGGCTCTATAGCTATGATGTAATATACACTTTACACTACGTTACAACCTTATTTCTGACCTACTTTTCTCCTCACTGGATTGTGAATAGGGTAATTGGTTCAAACAAGCAGAAGAATGAGTTTTGAAGAATGGCAGGCAAAAATTTATTGTATTCGAAATAACAACTAGGTTTTGGTGGGGTTTTTTTTAGCTGTTCTTCAAATCTTGTTGACAGTATTACAACAACAAAGGTCTGTGTTACCACTCCGACAATTTGAATGCATGAACTATAAGTAAACAAGCATCAGTAGCCTGACAGAAATAGTATTTAATGCTCAGTTTTTTGTATTTTTCATCACTGTGTCATTCACAGTGTGAGCATATTTAAAAAACAAAATCCAGTAATTTTCAGTCCTTTATGAATTTTCCTTTAGCTGTAGGATACACATGTTCAGACCTGTTATTGTGAGGTCAGTGGTTCTGTACTTGTCAAAGACCCTGATGAGATTTCTATTTCGCTGCAGCTGTTGCTAGAATTCGTTTCACATCCCAGAATAGTGCGATAATACACTCTGATGTGTGTCTTTGATGTTTTATTGATGAAACAAAGTATGTCACACAAATCTGTGGGAGCTTGGACATTAATTATTAATGTCTTGATTTTGAAAGCTGACAACAACTGAAAGGAAGGCACATATGTTTGGAGCCAATCTTTATCAATTCTTATACTGCCATTCCTTCAGTCTCGACCACAGCCACCAGAATCTAGGGCAGAAAAGTCTCACATGATGCTCAAATTTGCATACCAAAAAATTTTCTCCCACCCCCTTTTCTTTTTGTACGTGTGAACTGTTTTTGGCTGAATGCCAGGAAGCCAGCCTCTGCTTGTGCTTGTTGTGCCACATTTCCTCATCAGAGTACGCCCCCCAGCCTCATCCCATCATGCCCATGAAGGAAAACAAAGCTGGCATGTCTCTTTAATGAGGAGCAGAGCTCAGAGCGTGGGGAAGGAGCTCTGTTTCCACACACATTAAAATTCAGCGGCTTCAACCAAAGAGCTAGGTCAAGCAGCTCAAGCCCTATTTAACTTAAATACTTGGTAGAAGAACCAAACAGTCTAACAAATACAAGTGGTGCTTTTTGTCTTCAGTTCCAGTCAGGAAGGGACCGGTTTTAACTGGTAACTCTGCTTGTAGACTCGGTGATAATGTGCTGATTAGAAATTAGCAGCCAGCCACCATTAAACCTCTTCTGAGAGCCCTTTAGCCAAAACCGAGCTGCAGCCTCTTCCCCATAGCAACAGAGACAGATTTGACGGTGCAGTAAAGCAGCATCCCCTGGCTCCTGGTGTCCCTGGGGCCCCTGCCTCACCCTCACCCGCCCCACCTGGGACCCAGGGGCCATCAGTGTGCTCACATGGACAACAGGAGCTCTGCAGACTTGTGTCTGATGACAGGCCCTCCTCTATTATACTGCCTGTCTCATATCCTTAAGAGAATAATCTCTTAAGGTAATTACATTTCTGCATCAATGCATATAAATGCAGGCTGCATGAATTTCTCCAGGGACCCATATTAATCTAAATATTGTCTGAGGTCCTCCAGAAGCATAGATTCTTGGCTTTCAGAGGTATTTTTAATTTAAAATTAAAAAGTAACAATTCTTCTGAGGGATCAAAATATATTTTTTTGTTTTTGCAATCAAAAAGCACAAAGCATTTCTCAAAAAAAAAAAAAAGAAAGAAAACCCTTTCAGAACTTGGAGACTGCTCAAAAGATCTAAGAGCTTGAAGAGCTGCCCCATTTTAGTCTGGGAAACTAGGTCTAGTGTAGCCCGCAGCGCCTCAATTGCTGCTTCCACAGCCATTGTGTGTGAGCTTGGATTTGGAAAAGAATGGAGCACGCAGCAGCAGCAGCAGAGCTGACTATCCCTCCTCCAGGCCACAGCGTTTTCAGTGTTCCTTTAATTCCCTCCATGCGTCTCTGTTACAAAGCAGAGCTGCAGTCTTTCTCTCTCTCCCTGCATCTGCTCTCCATGGGCTCCTCTGTTCCAGACAAGGTGAATCCTGCCCTGAAACAGCTGTGCCTCTGGCCCCGTCCGCTGTGACTGAAGACTAAACGCAATGTGGGATACTTACACTGACATCATGACTAATATGCTATTTGAACACCCAGTGAGGCCCACTCTACATGTGAATATATCATATAGGAGAGGGAAAAAAACACCAAAAAGAGAATTACCCCACATTTAATTATTATCAAATGCATTTTGGCTGCACTAAGACATGTTTTCATAGAAATTTAAAAAAGATACGCACTAATATTTCAGAGATTAATGTCCTGTCTTGGTGGTTTATCTTTATTTTATTTTGCTGTTTATAATAAATAAATGGCCCTCTAGAGGTGACTTTGGATTTATCCAGTGCTCAAGGTGACTCCAATGCCATGTGTGGTGGAGAGAGAGGAGCTCTCCGGTGGTATTGTGACATTCAGGGGGCAAATATTGATCAAGGGAATTAACACTCTTCAGCAAGCCAAAACACACACATGAAACCATCCAACCAAATCCAAATGAACCTGATGTTGAATGTGAATCTACATAATAGCGCTCAGCTCAGAAAATACAAGAAAAAAATCAGCTGACTTTGCCTGACAGATTTTATGGTGAAAAATAAAAACTAAAAAGCTTCAGATATTCATGAACTAAACCTGCTGTATGTCTCTCTCTATCTCTCTATCTCTCTATCTCTCTATCTCTCTGCGTGTAGATTGTGGTTTGAATGTCCACAAACAATGCTCGTCTCTGGTACCCAACGACTGCAAGCCAGACCTGAGACACATCCGTAAAGTCTACAGCTGTGACCTCACGACCCTGGTGAACGCTTATAATACAGCGCGACCTATGGTGGTGGACATGTGCATACGAGAGATCGAGTCCAGAGGTTAGGACGTGTGTTTGTGTCTGTGTATTTCAAATGTATAGCTCTAAGAGTATCTTCCTACCAAGATGTAAATGTGATAAATGCAGTTTAGTTTAAATACTAATTGAATTAATTTTTTAAAGGCTGTAAAACTAGACTTTGATTTGCTTTACAATGAAGTATTTTAGCTGAAATGCTGCAAACTGAAGAGGAAGAACAATGGAAGCAAAGAATGGCTGGAATAATTCAAATCTTATAAGCAACCGAACACTTAATTGACTTAATAGTCACTGAATACTTAATTTATATTAATCAAATATCAGTCTATTCATAACAATCTAGAGGTATTTCAAGTATTAGATTTTCAGAGTAATTTCCTGCTGTTTTAAACAGGTTCACAAATTCTGCTATATGACTATATGATTATATAATTACTCAAATTATTATCCCTGCTGGTCTGAATGAATTTTAATTTGGTTCCAATATAAGAAAATAGATTTTCTTTTTACCTGACTCAAATTTTAGATCCAAAAACATCAATCTGCAGTCTGAATATTGGATAATCTGTGAAACCTAAAATGTAATTATTAATATCAAACTTTGGAAATGAATGACCATCTGGAAATGTCAAAAAGGGGGGATACAAGCTACATTCAGATACATGATTGATGATAGATGAAGTATTTCAAAGCTGTTAATATAAAATATTCAGTAGTGGTTAAATTTAATTAATTAATTAACTTCCAAACCTTCACCACTTTTTTTTTTTTTTTTTTTTGCCTTCATAAAGACATTTAGGAATTATTCTAAGACAATCAATCAAGCTCATATCAGGTCACCTCAGTAAAATGTAAAGTCACTGTGAAATTGCAATAATATTAAATTTAATTTCTTGAACAAAATTCATGTTTAACATTTTTAGTTGATAAAAAAATCAGAAAAAACAAAATACACTCCTTTGTCTGATTGCATTACAAACAGAGTTAGAGTTTTGGGGCCAGGGGATGACTGAGAGGAGTGATGGGTGTGCTGGTAATTGTAAATGTGTAATGAGGAATACATTACTCTGTTTCCTGCTGCCTTATTTGATTGCATCTCAGTTAAATCATTCAACTATGTAGGAAACTCATTGCTCCCTCATTGTCTGCCCTCTAATAAGTGTGTGTAGCTAAGTTTGATTTATGTCTTTATTATTTTGCCCAGTGAGGCAAAAAACAATTTGCATCTGCCCATGTTGTTCCATTGTGTGACATTGTGGACATTTTATCCTTAATTCCTTATGCATATTTAAGAGGCATTTCCTAAATTACCCAAGGCGATACATGCAGGTGAATTATTCTGCATTACTCATGACAGGCCTGACGATGTCTGAAAGGTTGTTTATTTCATGTTTGTTCCTCAAGGACTCAAGTCTGAAGGCCTCTACAGAATATCTGGATTCAGCGATGCAGTGGAAGAAGTCAAGATGGCGTTTGACAAAGGTGTGTGCTCCTATGGTTCTGCATGTGGTCACTGTTTTAAAGATTTCTGCCAGCTATCAACATGATGATCGACATCGCATGCTTTCATATGTTTACGTAAGACACGCAGAACATCTCAGATTAATGAGAAAGTGACACATTTGTGAAGGATTACTGTCCATCTGGGAGTGCAGATCCTATCCTGACACGTCCCTCTCACGCAGGGTTTCACAGTGTGGACAGACAGTGAGGGGAGGGGGGGGGCTCTCATGGGACACAAACCATGGATGTACTCTCACTGTCTTAAACATAGCTGTGTTGGGATTCAGTAGTAGACTTAGTGAGAATGAGCCTGTCTTGGCCCAGTGCAGTGTGAATTTTAACTATAAGAAAAACCCTGCAGCGGTGGGCTCAACTCTTAGCTAGATCCGCATGTGGGAGATCATCCATGACAGAGTGTCATTCCAGCTCACAGCACTGTGATGTTCAGTCTGCCAGCGCAAGTAGGCCATGGCCTCTCTGGAAAGCATGCATAACTGAGGGAAAGTCAGAATAAAACAGGCCAGGCGGATGATAGCAGCTACTTTGCAAAAAACAGAGCGAGAGAAGAGGTTTTTTTCCCCCACCCAGAGTAACAGAATCTCTTTATTCCTCAATTCACACAGTGATGTGAAGGTGCTGATGTCAGACATTTTTACAGTGTGAAAAACTCTTCTCTTCTTGTCTCCCTTATTCCATCACACTTCCTCACAGATGGCGAGAAGACAGACATCTCAGGGAATGCCTATGAAGACATCAATATCATTACAGGTGCACTGAAACTGTACCTGAGGGATTTGCCTGTTCCTGTCATCTCATACGATGCTTACCCAAGGTTCATCGAGGCTGCAAGTAAGTCACAGCAAGACAATTTAGTCAGAAACACACCTGTTTCAGCTGCTGCTAACATCACTGTTAAGCTTTAAGTCCTTTGCTTCACGTGGTCACTTTGGTTCATGTGGAAAATGTAGTATACTGGCCTAAAGAGGGTGGACAAAATAACAGAAACACTTGTATTTAATGGAGTTTTGATGAGTTCATAAGTATTAATATGCATATTGTCTATAGTCTTGAGGCTATAGTTTGTGGAGTTGCTGTATTGAACTACACTTTGTTGTATGTTCTTTTCACTTTATGTACTGCTGCCAGCACAACCACAGTCCGTTGCTGTTATTTAAAACTTCTCTTAAATTGATTTTATGGTTGTTATTGGAGAAAAGGAAAACATTCATAAGTAATCTTACTCGGTAGAAGCAGAACTATAAAAATGCAGCCTCGAACACCTGACTTCTCAGAATCAGGCAATCATTTTCAATACTCAACACTGACCCTAAGTCCTGAATACGTGTTCAACTCCAACTCCCCTAATTAGCTAAACACAACCACACAGTCAAGAACACATTCACTGTGTTCATTTGCATTAGCTATCTCAAGCAGCCTCAGACTTCCTCTCAGGGACTAATGACTTTTATTACCCCACAAGAAATCACTACATTGATTCCTGCTTGTGTCCTCTCTGAGGTCAGAGAGTGTATCCCCTCTAACAGCAGCACTCCTCTCTGTTTCTCTTCAGAGCTCACAGACGCAGAGAAGAAACTGGAAGCTTTCCGCGAGGCTCTAGCTCTGCTGCCGCCATCACACAATGAAACTTTAAAGTACCTCATGGCGCACTTAAAAAGGTGAGCAATCCAGACAAACCCTGCAAGGATTTAATTATAAGGAGGGAAGTGTTTTAGAAAAGTGGCATAATCATATTCTTTTTTTATTTATGAAGGGAGAGCAGTTAGTGATTCATTGTTGTCTCTCCAGAGAGTTACAATAGCTCCTAACACCTTCACTTTAGTCTGCAGCAGAACTACAGTAAAATAAAATGTGTGAAAAGAAAAGAAAGAAGCGTCACATAAAGTGACTTTGGGAGCTTGTGGTCCAAAAATAAAGCAAAAAGTGAACAGGAGCTATCACTTTTTTATGTTTGCCATCATTTTGGCACATTTTATTGTTTGATGTTGTTGAATGTGAAAATCATTACTGGGTTGATATATTAAAGTTTAATCTGGAGTATACTATGTAAAATTCTAAGTTATTGATTGATAAATTAACTGTGCCAGTCAATAGTGTCACATTACTTAGGGATATTGTTACTTTGAGGCATTTTCTCTTCAGTCAAGGGAAAGGTCCAAAGAAACCATTAGTAACACTGATGAGGGTCTTGCTTTATTAAAACACAATGTTCCTCACCCCAGTGATTATTATAAATCTTTGTTTATTTCCAGAATCAGTCTGTGTTTCTAACATTATAATATATTTCCAGGGTGACACAGAATGAGAAATTCAACCTGATGAACGCAGAAAACCTTGCCATCATTTTCGGACCCACCCTCATGCGCGCACCAAACCTGGATGCCATGACAGCACTCAATGACATCCGCTACCAGAGACAGGTGGTGGAGGTGCTCATTAAAAATGAAGATGTGCTCTTCTAAACACAGATCAGGACTTTTATAGAACAGCTATCTAATCATTCGTATGTGTAAAGACTTGAATGACTGTTTGTATTACATTGATTGATACATTTTTTAAATTGCCCTGCATATGGACTAGTACTTACCTACCTTCTGTCCTCCCCTGTTTCGGGTGTGGACGATGAACTTTACTCCATGTCTCCCCATTTTTGTCGGGGGATTTTCAGAAGCTGACAGACCAGCATGCATGGTGCGAGGTCTTTGTTGCTTTGTAGTCGTAACCCAGCATGTGTTAAGATCGTGTAGCGCTGTGATTTTGCTTTTGTCTGTTCTGTGGTAGTTATAGTCCACATTCCCAGCTGCCTGCTGCGCAGTTTTTTTTTCTGTGAAACATTGTATAGCTGGATGTAAAAATAAGCTACTGATTTTTCTGGGGTAATTTTTATGATGCTGTATTTTTTTATCTCCTCAACTGTTTTTATGTAACCTGAATTAGTTGAATGAGCCTTTCCTGTTAATGCGTACAAACTGGTGCATTTGCCTGACCTTAACATTTTTATTGTGTTATAAACAGCATTATTTGTGAATTTAATTTTTTATTGTAATGTTTTTGTACACAACTTGTGCATGATCAGTTTAATTTATTAAACCTTACTCTGAGAAATTAAGTGATTAATGAGTCATCTGATTTGCCATAATAAAAATCTACATCAAATTGTGCATTAAAACCTGCATTAGCACATTTCTTTGGGCCACTTGGAGGCAGCAGATGTGAACACAACATGTTAGCAAACAGCTGCTCATTTATATAGATTGAGCAGATACATTATCTTTCTTTTGGAGTCATGTTTGGTGGCTCTCCTTTAGCTCTGTTTTTGGTCTTTACCAAGTCCTAAGGGAAATATCTGGCTCTTAAGCTGCTAAATGCCCCACTATGTACAGCAGCTACTCTCTAACTGTGCCTGTCAGCTGTTTTGTGTGGGGGAGGTTGTGGTTATATCAAAGATTTTTTCCTGTAAACAGCTTCCAGCTGTGCCTGGAAACAACAGCGAAAAGACCGAAACCGACAATGAATTGATCTCATGAACAAATATTGACTGCAGCCAAAGCTATAGTCAATTACTCTGTGCCATCGACCTCCATTGTTAAAACTATTAAAACACCTCAATGCTGTGGGTGACATCTTCCATCATCACCATGAACATGGACACTGTAGTTTATTTTGGTTCAGTCCCACATACAGCCTGCTGCCATACATACTCACTAGAGCACCAAATGTCTACTAATCCACCACTGAAAATAGTCCCAAACAGCTGCACTATTTATTCTTGTTTGAGTAACATTTGCTACAAACTACAGAGCCCAGCAATTTAAAGAAATTACTCTGCCTGTAAAAAAAATAACAGTATATATACACAATAACAGCATCAGTATATTTTAAATGAAGAATAAATAATATACAGAATATGTATTGCTGCTTAAACAAATGTACATGAGCAACATAATATATGTGGCTGAAAGATGACCCTGGCTGATAGGACTGAATGTCCTCTGTTCTGCATATTCAAAATGACAGGTCGTGCCTAAAAGCCACACGTCATGTGACTTTATATAAACCCCTCTAACAACAAATCAGTCACACTGATTCACTGTGAGATTAAAACCAAACACACAACACCTAAGGCAACACCACTCTTGCACTCAGGGAACTGCTAATTACTGGATATATGTGCAAACAATGTCAGATTAAATTTATGCATTTTAGGTTTAATTACCCACAGGTTATGTCCTTCCAAGCAATTTCTTAGAAGCAGCCATGCACAGCCATCGGTGGCTCATTACATGGTCACAGTTTTACACTGTGTAGGCTCAGGGAACCAATAGGAGTTATCTGGATAGTGTCTTCATTACACATTTATAAATAATATAATATAATATAAATAATATTTTTTCTCAGACTGTGCACACGTGCCTTTGGGGATTATTGTTGACAGACTTAAAATCTGGTGTAACTGCAGTCTTTGGGATCCTATTGTCTATAGCATCATGTTCAGCCATTCTCTGTGTTTAGGTTTTTGTGCTTTAAATTTCCCCACAAACCATCTGAGAAGCAATCACTACTTGACATTTAATCAATTGGGTTTTGTGACCACATCACACTGAGTTAATGTAAGCCGAATTCAGACTTGTCTCTGGTGATTGTGTGGCAAAATTGGATTTTCATCCAACCGTTTAGCCTCCCCCCGCCATTATCAGCCATTTTAGATATATCATACCTTCATCTGCGTAAGGCATTGACTGTGAAAGGAGGTAAACCACACCAATAAAGCTATCGAGCTTTCTATCTCTCAGTCAGATGCTGTGATAACACTGTGCTGGAGTAATGTCTGCAAATGTATTGTGTGGTGGATGTGCCTCATTCACAGTAATGAGACTAAATTTGAAAGGCTGTGATCCATGAGATAACTGACCTTTCTCTGTTGACTGGATGGTAATGGTTCCCTCCCTGCAAACGGCTGACCTGAATACATTTTCAGCGTTGAGATATAAAGAAATATTCAGTTCACCCCTTTTGAAATGTTCAGTCTGTTTAATTGCTCATTTTTATATAATCACCACTTCAAATCTTACATCAAATATGTATTAGAATGCCATATTGAAGGGTAAACTCTATCATAAAAAATACATAAGATTTCAAGGAATATTATTTGTTATATAAAATTATTTTGCTGATGTTTCTTCACTTGAGTTTTATGTATTGGGTAATTTACAGCACTCGCCAGTGATTTCTCGAATCTTAACAAACCAGAAATAGATGCAAAATATTAATCGGATTAGAATAAATAATGAAAATGCTGAATTTTCTCTTCCAAGGAATATTACTAATGCTGTCCAAGGTTAAATATTTATATATTTATGTTGGAACATCATGTACAATAAAAACATATCACTCAATGCACATCATAATCTCTTGGATGAACTCTAATCCTCTTCATCTTCATCAAGGCATAAACATCCAGTATGTTGTCCAGTTTTCATCCACCCCTTGCAGATATTACATGGGCGCTTTTATTCGGATTCAATGAACATTTAATCACTTACAGAACAGATACGAACACACAGCTCTTGGTCCTCTAGAGACGGGAATCATGGCGTGAGCCTTCAAAGCGTTGTAATTAACACTGGACAGAGCACCAAGAGTGTCCGTCTATTGAGCAGATACAAGGCTGGCTTGTCCTGTGTTACATGACAGACTTGGAGAAAGACAAAGCGTTGCTCACATGGTGTGAATTCAGGTGGTCTGAGTGATTGGAGACGGAGATAGAGATAGAAATGGGGGGTGGGTTGAGACAAGTCTCTCTTAATTCAGACGTTGCCAAAATGGTCATTTGTCCCTTAAGTGAGATGAATGAGGCGAATGGTTGAGTGACTGGCTGATTGAACGGATTGGGGATGTGAGAAAATTGAGTTGCCTGACCCATCACAGGCCCGACAGGGTGGGGTAGTGCAGAGCAAAAGAGGGGGACACAGGTGTAACACCTGGCCTCCAGGAAACACATTTCAACATCTGAATTATCTAAGATTATAATATTATTTATTTTTTGATGAGCAACTTGACCTGAGAGGCACTGTGAGAATACTATGATAAAGCAGATGAAATAAAGCTTCATCATGCATATCGAAATGGTTACTAACTACATCACTAAACAGTTAAGATTTTCACTTTAAGACCCACCTTTTTTTAATTTATAGGCAAATGTTGTACAATAAAAACTTAAATGGGGAATGAAGAGTCAAAGTGAAACTGATTTTGCATTTGCAGAATGAAGTCAGCATTGTAGACGATTCCCATTTTTTTAAATCAATTAAATAAAGAAGAACAAAGAGAAAACAACAAAAAATACATAAACAAAAATATGATAGATTGAGGCTAACCATGTTACATATCATTGCCCCCCAAAACTACAAAAACATCCTCAAAACACAGGTAGACAAAACACACTTTTCCCTCTCTTACCTATCGTAGCCCATATCCATCGAGGTACCCATTCATAATACTTGTATTAAGGTGATATAAATGTATTTGATCTGTCTCAGGTGTAATTTCGATGTTTAATGTTTAATGGTTCGATACTTAACTGTTGTTAATACTGACAATAGTGCCCTTTAAATGAACTGCAGTCAGCATGTCGTTGTTGTGCTGTACACAGTCTGTAGCCATGAGCGAGCATCATCCTGGGCTTTGGCTGAAAGTGATATACATAAGACTGAACTCTGAAATAAACACTGAATATCATCTCTAAAATCATATTTTGTGAGTCATATTTAGGTAAAAGTTACTAAATGTAATGATTCTATATTTTAATTGGACCATTGGCTCCGTGATACCAACCAGCTTGCCTTTTGCAAATCATCAACCAGCAGCAAGAGGCTGCCAACAGCAGACCCATGAGCAGCCAAGACACAGCCAGCCGGCCAACCCCATCTTAGTTTAAGTTACAGGTAGCTAGTTGGCTGAATCTGCCTTGCAATCGCTCTTGGTAATCGATAGTCATACACCTTTACTTTACATTAATTTATTGTTGGTTAAAATCAACACCATTTGTCATAATACATAAGTTAGTATCATGCATCACTTTAGCTGGTTAAGTAATTTTTCAGTAAAGCCCAAAACAATATTCACTCAGATAGTATTTAGCTTTTGATAATATTAGCAAGCAAGCCAGCTATGGTTAGAGAGCCAGCTGCAGCCACACTGTATAACGTTATCCAGTGCAAAATGGTCTGCAGCATTTGACAGTTGTAGATGAGAAACTCTCCATTTTTCTGTTTTCTGTCTTAAAGCATTCAGAAAAATAGACATTTTAATCAATCAATTAAAGTTTGATCAATTAATCAAACTTTATTTGTACAGCACCTTTAATATAGGTTGGTTTGAGCAATTCAAGGCGCTTTACAGATGATAGTAAGTAGTTAAACAATTTAAGAATGCACGCAAGAAAGAAAAAAATATAATATAATACAATAATAAAACAGAACAGCTACTAAATTGACCTTATGGTCAGAATGTTTTGTCAACAACTGTTCCCAAAGCCAGACAGTTTCATAAGTGTGGTCAGCCTGAGGCCATTACTCACTTGAGAGTTGCACAGAAATGATTTCCTTGTTCAGGTTTTTCTGCATTGCATGGTGCTGTACAGAGGTTAGATTAGGATGTTTGCTTATGACCAAAATGTCTAAAATAAGCTAATTTCTTTTGAAAGTGAAGGCAATAAGAAAGAAACAATTGTATTTATTTATCATTATCATCAACATCAGCTTTCACTACATGTGTAGCTTGTACCTGAATTTCTGCTGTTTGGAGTTTGGTTCCTCTGTTTCTCTTCTTCCTTTCATCAACAGTCAGATCAAAATTTGCTTTGCATTTAATTCTGTGCGAAACAAAACTCAGCAACAGCATGTTGTTTGATTTCCCCTCAGACTACAGCAGCGAGTGAGTTGAATGCAGAGTGAGCTGGGGAGGGGCAGTACAGCAAGATGGGTGCGCTGCTAAATGGCGTCCCCAGTGGAGCTGCAGCAGTAGAAAAATGGTTCAGCACAAGGAAAAAAACACATGGTGCTGTGTGAGGTGGCCACATCTTAGCCTATGGTGGCCACCCCTTGGCTCCACCTTTGTCCCAGCGTCAGAAAAGAACCATAAGTTTTATTTTTCTAGATTAGATCCAAAACTTTAAAATGATTTAAAATATATCATCTCACCCAAACTAAAGTTATCCATCACGCAGACTTTTCCCAGGAAGAAACAGAAACAGACATATATGTAAAATCATCAGGCATATTCATTATGTTTTGGATATTCCAGGGTCTGTGCATTTCCTTTACACGGTCATTAAATACACTGATATGAAGGCAGCATTGATAGTTTTTCTCTGATACAAGAACAACTTAGGGCAGCTATCATGTGTCGTGTCTTTGCACCTCGAGGTTGTGTGTGGCCAAGTTCACGATGAGATATTTCAGTGGTGGATTACTCTGGCATGTTGATCTTATAACAGATGACAAAGAATGTGTCCCTCTCAAATGACAAGCATTGGCAGCCGGTCACTCACATCCGCTGTCAGACAATAACAACAAGACTGCCAGTGGAGAGCTTGGAGGTTGTACAGTAAGCCACTTGCCAGTGCTGAAAGAATGTTTTAGGTGGGTCAAACCGTTTTAATTCTCAGGTGGTCAACGGGCAACGTGTTGAAGTTGGATCTTGTTTTTGGATGCCTGGGTTTATTGGCAAGAATGAATACTGTATTTTTAATTTTTCATCTAGTCATTCTAGCAGGTAAGAGCTTATTTAAAACTAAAAATGTGTGTTGGTCACCGATGGAAATAAGTGTCTTTATTACTTTACTTGACTTACTTGAAGTGTTTAAAGCATAATGAAGTTGGAGAAAGTTGGAGCTAAAAAAAAAAGCAATTACTATACCTTCCTCTCATTGATTATGTGTAATGAAACTGCTCGCAGGTCAGTGTGAGCTGATCCAATTCACACAACTAATGAGCACATTTCTGTGCAAACCAGCCCTTTGATTGACAAGGGCATGTGTACTGTTTTCATTTTTCTTTTCAACCTTTTGTCTGTCTGTCACCACATGAAGTCACCTGTATAATTATGTTCAGTAGGATCCCTTAGTTTACTGTGAATATCTTGAGAATCATTCAACCGTTCAAACAACATGTTGCTGTAAAATGACCTTGGTTTCAAGGTCAGCTGAAAAATGAAAGGGGATCCTGCTCCAGCTTGTGACAGATATGTAGCCGAAAGAGCGTAAGAACATCTCTATTAAGGACCTTACAGGAGTGCCGTCACATGTTTGAATGCAGTATTGCCAAATTTAGACCCCACACACTGACTACACATATATACATACATACATTATATTTATACTACTGGCTTACAGGTTAGAGAACATGTGCTTGAATGCAATCTCTTCATGATTGTGTGTTAGAGAGCCTGCTTCAAAAAATCAGAAAAAATATTTGAATATTGAAAACAATCAAATAACTAAATAAATGCAAACATACACTTTTTAAGTCACAAAAATGTATGTATTTAATGCCCAAAAGCTGTACACAAACCATGTAAATGTGGGTCACTCTACTGACTACACTACAACATGTTAGACCTATAGTATGACACCTGTCACATCTATTTTCAACTCATATTAAATGAACTCACCTCAAGTATCAGATGTTCTTAAAGCTGTATTCTGCTTTGGCACAACATAATAATTTTCCAGCACACTAAAGAGGTCCTTTTGAAGAGTAGAGAAAGACATATGTTTAAATGTCTTCAATGAAAGTAACCCATATGAAAAGAAAAATTAGTGTGCACCCTTTATGGTGTCTTTTTTTTATTTCAGGTGCTGCCTGGGCCTCCTCTGACGAAACACAACTGGTCAAAAAACTCTTCACTGGCTACAATAAGGTTGTCCGACCTGTCAATCACTTCAAGGACCCGGTGGTTGTTACTGTAGGCCTTCAGCTCATCCAGCTCATCAGTGTGGTGAGGTCTCATGTCACACACAATATCACCCCATCTGCATTAAGATTCAATGCCATCAACTGTCTAAACACATTTATGTGGATTCGCAGGATGAAGTCAACCAGATCGTCAGCAGCAACGTGCGACTGAAACAGGTTTTATGAATTCACGTTTTTATTGTTATGATATCATAAAAGAAAGACTTTGGAGACACTGTCATATTGCAGATAGCCTCAGTAAGGTAGCCTACTAATTAAAATGGGTGAGAAAAGGATGGGCAATAATACATCATCATGCTTCTAGCCACAAATTATAAATGCACCAAATGTCCAGACTCCAAGAAATTCAATTAAAATATACAAATATTTGTTTAGGACGTGCTGAAATTGAGTTGTAAAGGAACACTGTTTTTGTTTTGACAAGTAAAACATAAAGACAAACCTCAGGATGATGAACATGCAAGCTGTTACAAAAGGTGTACTGAAGAGGTGTATCATTCTTCTTAAACCAAAGAAAGAAAGTTAAAGGTCCAGTGTGTGACATTTAGGAGGATCTATTTCCAAAAATGGAATATAATATTCATAGTTGTGGTTTCTTCCGTGTATGATCACCTAAAAGATAAGATAAGATAAGAGGTTTTTATTTGTCACATGCACAGTTATACATAGTACAATGCACAGTGAAATGCATTCTTTGTACCTGCAGCCAGTAGTAAAGAAAAACAAAATCGGAACCGTTGTGTTTTTGTTACCTTAGAATGAGTTGTTTTTATCTACAGACGCTGCGTGTTGCCGCCATGTTGAACCACTATGTTTCAACAATAGCCCAGAAGGGACAAACCAAACACTGGCTCTAGATAGAGGCGTTTGCGTTTTTTGCACCTTTTCGCAGCCACTGTAGTTTCTCCTTTGATAATAGTTGTGAATGTTGAAGTCATTGTTCTGAGTGTCCTTGTCTGTTTTTACAGCAATGGAAAGATGTGAACTTGCAGTGGAAACCAGAGGATTATGGTGGCATCAAAAAGATCAGAGTTCCCTCCACTGACATTTGGCGGCCTGATCTGGTTCTCTACAACAAGTATGTTATCAGACTATATGTGATCCACTTCAAGTCCCTTGTTTTTTTCATTTACAATAAGCTTTGCACAACCTAAAGCATTCAGACTTCTAGAAACAATCAACACACCTGTCAGTGTTGTTTTGAATCACACTTTTCTATATGCAGCGTGTGAAAGCTCAGATTTCATCAGGCTAAATCTGGAGTCTGTATTGCAGGTCCCCTTCTCCCCTCCCCCCACCATATGCTCCTTCTGACACACTGCTGTTTTTCCCTGACAACCAGCTCCGCTGCCACAACAACTTGTGCCAAGCTGAGCGCTGGTTGGCTGGGCTGTGCGACAGCAGCGTTGACCCATCCTCAGGCACTGGTGTCCCCCTGCGTTAATATTTAACTTATTATCCCCCATGTTGAGGCTGCCTGTGTTTTTCTGTGCCCACAGCGCTGACGGTGACTTTGCCATCGTTCATGAGACCAAAGTGCTGCTGGAGTACACAGGAATGATCACGTGGAACCCACCTGCCATCTTCAAGAGCTACTGTGAAATTATTGTGCTGCATTTCCCCTTTGACCTCCAGAACTGCAGTATGAAGCTGGGTACCTGGACCTACGATGGAAACCTGGTCGTCGTCAATCCTGTAATTCCATTCAGGACTCTTTCTTTAAAGGAGTAGTTCTACGTTTTGGGAAAAGCGCTTATTTGTCATTCTTGCTGAGAGTTAGGTTAGAACATCAACACCACGTTTAACATGTCTGGCTAGCAGCCGGTTAGCTTAGCTTAGTATAAAGCCTGGAAGCAGGGGGAAACAGCCTTGCTTTGTAAAAATCTGCCTGCCTGCCGATCTAAAGCTCACTAATGAGGAAGTTACTGTACATCTCGTTTGTTTAATCAGAAACCAAAGTGTAAAAACGACACATTACGGTTTTAATGGGGACTATTTCTTGGCCGGGAGCAGTGACTTCCTGGAGTCCCTTAAAACCACAACTTTTTGTTTTTTCGATTAAACAAAAGAAATATACGAAAGAAAGAAATGTATGATTACGTTTGGATTGAGCCAGGCTAGCTGTTCCCTGCTGCTTTCAGGCTTTATGTCAAGCTAAACTAACTGTCTCCTGGCTGTAGCTTCATGTTTACCATACAGACATAAGAGTGGACTCAGTGTTCATTTCGGCAAGAGGGGGAATGTATTTCCCAAAATGTCCAACTATTCTTTTAACCATACAAATAGTGTAAATCCCCATTTGTCAGAAACATGAGTGTCTTTTATGATACCTGTCAATATGTCACAGAGCAATAGGGCTGTCACTTTTTCAACAAATGGATTTGAAATTACACATAATTCATGAAATAATACATACATATACAACTGTAATTCAAACAGGTCAAAAATTGACCACTTTACAAATTTTGAATAAAAAGTGACAGCCCTACAGAGACCTTCTGAACAGTGTTTCTAACATTTATCACTTTATTGCTTAAGGACTTAGATAGACACGAATAAGCAAATAAGCCTTCAGCAGGGCAACACTGGAGTGTTAACTTCTTCTTTTTAACAGAAATAATGAACAGGATATTGTATTCTATGACATAAGTTGCATCATAACATCACAAACCAAAACATCTTATAGAACAGATTCTGTATACAGAGTTCACTTGGATACAACCTAAACATTGTTAACGCCCTGTTTGACCTTTGAACTCAAACATAATTCAGATATGCCTGAGGGAGCTTATCACCAGACAAAACCAAAACAGAGCAATAAGATAGTGTACTTATTATATATTAAATTAGTATACTTAAATCCAACAAACATGGTTTGTTTAGCACTTTTCATGTTACAATAAGTGCTTTACAGGTGACTGAAAAACTAATAATAAAACAGCATAAATGTAAATAAAACAATTTAAGACCAATGCACATGAAAAATAGAAATAGTAAAAGTGAAATAATAGAAATGTATAAAGAATTTGAATGAAAACTCCTTTAATGACCCTGTTTATTGCTTCTCCTCACCAGGACAGTGACCGCCCTGATCTGAGTAACTTTATGGAAAGTGGAGAGTGGGTGATGAAGGATTTCCGTGGCTGGAAGCACTGGGTGTACTACGCTTGCTGCCCGGACACCCCTTACCTGGACATCACCTACCACTTCCTCATGCTGCGGCTCCCACTGTACTTCATTGTCAACGTCATCATCCCCTGCATGCTCTTCTCCTTCCTGACTGGCCTCGTCTTCTATCTTCCTACAGACTCTGGTACGTTGAGACTGCTTACACATCATTTCGTTCAACTGGGATATAGCATTAAGTCTATATCATGGTATTTATTATGGTATGGGATCTCGCCAGAATCACCTATCCTATGTTATATTTAATTAGCTTAATCCATCAAAAAGAAAGAAAGAGTAAAAAACTTTGCAGTTTTATGGAGGAGTGTGTGTGGGATATTTCTTGGCAGGGTGCAGTGATTTCCTGGAGTCTTGTCATCACCATGAGGGTGAGGGTGCTGCTTGGCAGATTTTGTTATCTTTAGACAGAGGCAGGCTAGCTGTTTCCCCATGTTTCTAGTGTTTGTGCTAAGCTTAGCTAAATGGCTGCTGGCTTTAGTTTTATATTTAAGAGGCCGATATAGTTGCGGACAGTCCAGTCCAGACAGCAGTACTCAAAACTCTCCTCCAACTCCAGCTAACAACACAACTACACTGTATTTTGGCAAACTAGAATGCTCAATGTCTGTCGGCAAGTCCTTTGACATTACCTGACACAAATTTTGGCTAGAATGGCTAGAATAACAAGTTAGTGTTGTGTGTCTGATTTCCTATTTACAGAGCCAAGGCTGTGTACAACCATTTTGTTGTCTTTGGACTGGGTAGTTGTTTCCCCCTTTCCACTCTTTGTGCTAAGATAACTGTTTCCTTACTGTAATTTAATGTTTACTTTACAGACACAGTAGTGTTATTGGAGAATCTCCTCTCCAAGAAAACAAATTAACTTATTTTCCAAGATTTCATTTCTTTAACATGGATGACAGTGAATGCCACTCCTGAAATGTCCGGTCCAGTGCATTAGTCCAGGTGTGATACTGAGGCATATAGATGCATCCTATTCATACAAACCCTGAAGTAGTTATTTGCAATTTGTCAGAAAGAGTTCCTATCTACTGTATTTTTATTACATTTTCCTATGTATCTATGTTTGAATAAAACTTAAACATCAAATCCTTGTTCCTAATTCTGCCTGTCAGTCTGGGGTGTCTCTACATCGCCTGCTACAGGAACTGTATCACTCGTGTGCACATCTGGCCGTGTTCCCAGTGTGTAGGTCTGCCTCATTACCCAGGGTCCCTCTGTGCTGTCATGTCTGAAAGCAGGCCTTTGCTTTAATGTATAATACATCACTTGATCCCTGTTTCTGATATGGCTGCTGACAGGAGAGTGTGGAGGAGAAGCTGGTGCCAAAAAGACGCTCTCTCCGGAATAACTGCTCTTACTGAGCAACAAAAACATGTCTTGCATTTTACTTGTGAAATGGTGTCAGAATATGTTTACTTGTGCTATTGTTCGTTCTAGGAACAGCAACACACAAAAAAATGCCTCTCACTCTGCTTTGCTTGTATAGGTGAACAGTGCAGTCATTGTGTTCTTGTGTAAATGCTAGAGGTGGACCCTGATTGGATGGCTGGGGAAGGGAAGTACTGGACTCATAGAAATAGCTCTCCCTTGTGGCAGTGTAATAAGATTGCATGTTGTGGGTATCATGAGCCAACTTACTGTTTAATGAGGCACATTCACATGTTTCACTCTGGTTTCAGGGTTATGTAAATGTGTCTTTTAAAGTGAAGATAAACCTTCACACTTAGTTTAAATCATACAGAGCATGTTATTGCATTTGGATTACATTTGTCCCCTTTAGAAACAGCTCTTTACAGATGTTTAGCTCTAGATTGAACCATTTTGCTTTGTGACCCCTCAAAATTATGCAATGTTGGCTTGTGACTCATCCTTAGTTTCATATATCTACCAGTTGTGACCAGTTCACCTGAAGAACTGTTCATATTTAAATTACTTTTGATGATAATTAGAATGATATCTAGATACCTTCCTGTATTTTCTGAGTTTATAAGTTCATTTGCAACCTTGGAAACAGCACCTGTAAAACAGTCTCACCAAGGTCCTTTTAGTAGCTGTTTTAACACTTTTGATCATATAACAGGAGCAAAATCCATCTGCTGATGAAGATCTTGTGCAACTAAATTAACCTTTATTATTATTATTATTATTATTATTATTATTATAATATATTTTGTCAAAAAAAAAAAAAAATCCATTTCTATCCTGTAATGTATGTATTTTACCATAATCTAATCTAATCATTTCCTAACCTCCAGATTGGGAAACACTGGTCTAAATGTTGATTGATTAGATTTTTTATACAGCAGCTTGTGGTAAGTTTTAGACAAATAAAGTCAGCCGTGAAGTGAAGATGATTTGCTGTTTTCCAGGTGAGAAGATGACTCTCAGCATCTCTGTCTTGCTGTCTCTGACTGTGTTCCTGCTGGTTATTGTGGAGCTGATCCCGTCTACCTCCAGCGCTGTACCACTCATTGGGAAGTACATGCTCTTCACCATGGTCTTTGTCATTGCGTCCATCATCATCACTGTCATTGTCATCAACACCCACCACCGCTCCCCAAGCACTCACACAATGCCAGACTGGGTCCGCAAGGTGAGCACATAAACAGAGGGAAATAAATAATGATTTATTATTTATAGAGCAAAGCTGAGTGACTTGAAATGGATCAGTCCCATTTCCAAGCTTGGTGATCTTTGGAGAACAACACTTCATCTTTTTTTCCTCTGCATTATATTGCCATCTAGTGGTAGCAGACAGTCTTTGTTATTTATTCAAGACAACTGCTCTGATGTTGTACACATGTTGACACAGCGGATGTATTTTTTTGTCTTTTAATGGCAGGTTTTTATTGAAACCATTCCCAACATCATGTTCTTCTCAACAATGAAACGCCCAGGAAAGGAAAAGCAGAGTAAAAGTATCTATGGTGCAGATTTTGACATCTCAGACATCTCTGGCAACCAGACCTCATCTGTCCCCTACCAGTCACCCATCACCAAGAACCCTGATGTCCGCAGTGCCATTGAAGGAGTCAAGTACATTGCAGAAACCATGAAATCAGATGAGGAATCCAACAATGTAAACACAGAAAGTGTCTCTAATATGGTTCTTGAATCAGTCTTGCTTTTGTGTATCTGACAGATTGTCCCTCTTTTCCTTCCAGGCTGCTGAAGAGTGGAAGTTTGTGGCCATGGTGTTGGATCATATCTTGCTTTGTGTGTTCATGGCTGTGTGTCTCATCGGCACATTAGGCGTGTTTGCAGGCCGTCTCATTGAGCTGAGTATGCTGTAAAGGCCGGTTTAACCTCTCAGATGACTTTGTTGTTCAATTGGAAACGTATTACCTGTTTGCTGTATGCCCTGCAGCATTGCCAGTCTACACTGCATCTCTGATTGTTTTGCTGTTTGGTGTTTGAAGAATGGTCCTATTTGTGTATGTATAAGAACAAGTTGTACAAGTATACAGTATCTTCAGCATAGTTAACAGACCATTGTTGTTTTCATTTTAGGGAATATATGTGTGAAATTGAAATGTTGAATTACTTCAAAAGAAAATTATTATTTTTTTGGAACATTGTACAATATTCCTTGATATGTTTATAGGGAACAACTGAATAAATGTGGGTTTTTTTCAGTTTTCATGATGACTGTTTTAGAAGTGCAGTCTTGCTCAGTGTCCTTATGTCTTTCTGATGCCTGTGACTTTGGCAAACTGTTGTACATTTTAAAATATTTCATAAAATCTAAAGGTGTAAAATGTTAAAGCAGAAAAGTGAATAGGTAGACTACAATACAATCCAACATGAACTTTGATATGTTGTCTTAACTTTTGGATGATATTTTCTTTAAGATACTTTTACACTTGCCCCTGATTTGTATGGACAAGCGGCCTTTATAGCCTTTATAGTTGTAAATTTGTATTTCCACGCTATGCAACTTTATGCTTACACACCTCAGAGGCAACGGTTGTACTTTTTACTCCTACATTTGTCGGACAACTTTATTACAAGTTTCTTTTCAGATTTCAGTTTTTCATACTCTTCCTGTCCCGGTGAAAAACATGTATCCCCAAAGTGGTGATTTTTAATATTTCTGATAATATAACAAAAGCATTAAGTGTTCCTTTATGGGTTGAATTATCCTACCTCTTAAACCAAATAAACTAAGAATAAATCTTGGACTAGCTTGAAAATGCATTGTCACAAACTAAAAACAGGTCTGTTTTTCTGAGCTCATGAAATGTGGTTCTCACAGTGACATTACAATGATGATCTTGCAGAATATGATACATTGCTATAGTTACAACTACCCAACAGTATATAAAGTAGTTAAACATGCAACATACAGATTAATGCACCACACTGACAGAGACCATTTTTCTGCAAAATTAGTACTTTTACTTTTGATACTTAAATTAAATGTTGCTGGTAATAGTTACTTAAATACGTTTTTTTTATTGCAGGACATTTACTTGTAGTGGAGTATTTTCACAGTGTTGTATTGCTACTTTTACTTTAGTAAAGCATCTGAATACTTCTTCCATCACTTTATTTTAGATAATTTTCAGTCAACCCTGTATTTGCCATTCAAAATACCCATGCAAACTCTGTGCTCTTCCACCGCAGCTCTGACACATGTTTTCACTGGTTACCTATCTGTTATACAGTAAATTACAGTATAATGTTAGTTTTAACAGAAGCCGAATGAGTCTAGCTGCTCTGACAACTGTACCGAGTGGGACAATCAAAATCAAGTTCACACCTAATTTCTGCTGATTGCAAAATACACATCTGCATATTAAATACTGAAGAGTTTGGTGTAAGCAGGGTAAGCCCCGCCCCCTTTCCCTTCCTCTGCTAAATGTGATTGGTCAGGTCGTTGTTGACAAATCGGGCATTATGAAAGTTGCTGCGTGGGAACCAAAGTAATACCTATGTAACACAAACTAGACACAGTTGCAGAGTTGGGACAACAATTTTGTAAGAGTGGACTAACTCCACCTCATGGTTTTTGTCGTGTAGTAAACGTAGCTTCACGTTAGTAGTCGACGACGGTCTGGTTTCAACACCGGCAGCTTAGCTAGCAGGCTGGCTAACACTTATCTAACTGACATTTGACTGACACATGGTGCACTCAGAGAGGTGAGAGTAACCTTATAAAACCGTACTTTAAAACTATAACGCTTGTTGGGTAGCTGGTAACAACTGTACAACCTCTTGTGAAGGAGTTATGTCAGTCATATAATGCTGTATAAAGTAACCTGAAGTTATCTGTTACCCGGTTACCTTTGCCCCAGCAGTGGTAACGGTTGTAACGGCTGTACCGGCTCCTCCTCTGACTGTATCTCCTCTGACTGTATCTCCTCTGACTGTACCTCCTCTGACTGTACCTCCTCTGACTGTATCTCCTCTGTTTAGTGTCTTGTCAGTGGCGAGCAGCAGCGGCAGTAACGACATTTAACATGAACGCAAACCGGGCATGACAGCTGACACCGGAGGGAGGATCGGCGGCGCGATGGAGGCACCGGTATCAACCACCAACTTCAACCTATCATACAATGAGGAAGAAGACCCGGACTCCACTGCTCTCTCGTCCAGTATGTCCATTGACAAGCTCTTCCCGGCGCTCTTGGAGTGCTTTGGGATAATATTATGCGGGTACATCGCTGGGAGGACAAACATCATCACCTCGACCCAGGCCAAAGGATTGGGGAATTTTGTGTCCAAGTTTGCCCTCCCAGCGCTGCTGTTCAAGAACATGGTACTGTTGGACTTTGGTAATGTCATCTGGCCATTTCTGTGGAGCATCCTCATCGCCAAAGTGTCTGTGTTTGTCATTGTGTGCGTCCTCACACTGATAGTTGCCAGTCCTGAGAGCCGCTATAGCAAGGCTGGGCTCTTCTCAATATTTGCCACCCAAAGCAATGACTTTGCTTTGGGATATCCCATTGGTGAGTATAATGCTTTTAAGCCTACCCACCCACTGTGCTTCTCATTCACTGCTGCAGCTCTAATCATGCTGTCCTGATGTTTCCCCATCCATCCAAACAAAAGTATAATTATCCATTTGCAACACTGTAAACTGACTTGGCAAACAGAATTGGATATCACTGCTTTCAGGGCCCCTCCTTAATCAACATTGCGTTCATGAAAAAAAACCTAGAGTGTAATCATTTCTGAGCTAAGTGGGATTCATTGTTTTATACTCACAAGGTTTGCAGAAATATAAACACATCTTCAATCAGGCATATGCTCTGGTACCTGTGGTTGAAATGTAGGCATGCATAAACAGGCCCAACTGTCAAAGAATAAAAGTACTGTTGCTGTACATTAATAGTGTGTTTACATGTGTCTTTTACAGACGCTTGGGCTTCTAATAGTCTTCTCAGGCTGGTTTTCAGATTAATAAACAAACCGATTTAAGCCTGATTTAACGATTGACAATTGTGCAAATTTCAAATAGAGCGGACAAACAAATAGGGTTGTTCTTTATTGCAGCGAGGCAGCATTTATATGCTTCTAAGCCATGTTTTTATTAGATCAGCCAGTGGTGACATTTCCATGAAGTGTCTTTTGTTTTGCTTTCACTTCTGCTATAGTATTTATTATTGTATTTTTTCCATTTCCTCAAACTTTCAAAGTTTAATTGCTCTGCTTTGTCTTGAAACTCAGAAGAGACCATGTTTTACAGAGAAGGTTTTAAATGTAAACATGTATTTAGGGCTGTTTGTTTACTTGCTGTACACTAGCAGTTTTTTTTTAAGGAGTGACCCTGGGTAACAATATGGCCGAGCGTGAATGTTTCTTACACATGAAAAAGAGCGTAAACTAATATATTTGCAGCTTTGTGTCTATTTTAGTATCAGGTTTTATATACATACATGAGGCCTCAGATGTTTTTGTTCATGATCTCTTGACTGCATTTGAACTACATCCCAGTAAGTTAAATGTGCCAAGCAGGCTTTGTTAATATTGAGCCATTTGTCTTCATCTTCACAGTTGAGGCCCTGTACCAGAGCACATACCCAGAGTACCTCCAGTACATCTACCTGGTTGCACCTGTGTCCCTGATGCTTCTCAATCCCATTGGCTTTGCCTTCTGTGAGATCCAAAAATGGAAGAATCAGGGAAACAACCAGCAGAGCAAACTCAGGATCATGGGACTTGTATTTTTACAGGTCCTGAAGAATCCTATTGTATTCATGGTCGTCATCGGCATCATCGCCCACTTTGTCCTGCACCAGACGATTCCGGCCTTCATGGCTGAATTTGTGGATGGTTTGGCAAACTCTTTTGGGGGAGCCGCTCTGTTCTACCTGGGTCTGTCCATGGTGGGCCAGCTGGGGAAGTTAACCAGATCCACAGTCGTGACACTGATATTACTAATTACAGCAAAACTGTGAGTGAAAAAACGCCTTTACTGACTGCACCTCATGTTCTTTTTATACAAGAGATAATTTAGTGTTATCAGACAACCTCTCTTTTATAATGAGACATGCTTTAGGAGTGTAGAGAGTCAGCAGGTTAGAGCTTTGTAAAGTGCTCCCAACATGTTGTTTTGTGCTGATGGTTTGGGTGACTCAGGCCTTTCTTGGACCACAAGCCTTTTTACAGAACGGATATCATGTTAAAGGTCGGAGGAGTGCGTAGCATGATAATAACTAGTGTACATAAATATTTTAGACGCACTGCACTTCTCAGTGTAGTGTTAACTAACAACTCAAACAATGCTCTTTTGATTTGACTTTCAGGTTGCTGATGCCACTGATTTGTAAGGACATGGTGGATCTGTTGGACAACAGCAACACCAGTGCTTTGAACCACTCTAGCCTCTCCAACTATGCCTTTCTTTATGGAGTGTTTCCCACTGCACCAAGTGTGGCCATCTATGCTGTCTATTACAACGCAGAGCTCGAAGTTGTGAGTTGTTAAGTTGTTGCACCTTCCAACCTCTGCCCTTAAGATACTGTTCAGTCTTTTTCCTTTGCAACTCACCGTATATGATTTTGTTTTTTAATGTTTCTTACAGGTAACCTCTGGGATGGTGATCAGCACTTTTCTCTCAGCTCCGATAATGTATGTTTCTGCCTGGTTACTCACAATCCCTTGGATGGATCCTCAGCTTTTGATGAATTCACTGCAGAATGTCAGCTTTAACATAAGCATAGTGAGCTTAGTTGCACTGGTGAGTCAGAACTGCACATGTCAGTGTGACATTTGCAAGCTTGATATTGGCTTATCTTTTATAACGAGATTTTTATCAGCTGGTTGTGTTGTTTATTTTGTTCTGTTATTAGGTGAAGTCAAAGTGAAGTAAAAATAACTTAATAGAGCATTTGTTATAGCATGGTCCACTTCATAACTGGAAACAGTTTGACCTACCATGATTTAACACAGTTATTTCCCGATTCAGATCACGTTTGATATTACGCATCTCATGTTCATCTGATGTTATCAAGCAGGGAAAATACAAAAATGTTGCTTCTTGTTACATGTTTGATCCACTTTGGTAGATTAAAAATGAAAGACTTTCAAAAGTAGGGGGGGAAAAAATGTCTTCATATTTGCAGGAACATGATATGTCAAGTTCCTGGTACATTTAGTTCCTCTTTCAATGCAAACAAGGCAGAACTGAACACATCATCTCTCATCTCTCCCATGCTGTAGAAACACATGACCTTTGTGATATGTTGAAAGGAGAGGTAAAGAAAGGGATGGTTGGATTAAATTGTTTTCCATCAGCTGCATGTGGCAACTAAATTATGGTTCACTCCTGTTTATGTTTAATAAAATGTCATGGCATTGTCATGATAGATGCAAACCAATACTGCAAGTGTGGAAGGGAAACACTTATTTAGTACAAGAATGTCATTTGCAGGATATTATGTTGTTAGAGTACATCAAGATTTTAACATTGCAACACATCACATATCAGTGGTAGAATAATAGAATAAAGGGGTAGAATAATTTGAAAAAATGTCGAATCACAAAGGAAAGGTGTCATGACATTGCATGAAAATATTCCTATTACCATAAGATATTTTTAGTATTACACTCAGCTTCATTATGGTATTATTCCCTGTATTGTATTACTTTATCTTTGCTTCCAGGCTCAGTCGTTTTACAGGATGTGTGAGCAGATGCTTTACTGACTCACAGACTTACTTCCTCCTTTATTCTCACTTTCTGCCTTTTTAAGGAACGTTGATATTTGTGTTTGTATTCTGCAGTATCTTATACATTAATTTGTATTCAGTGCTTCTGTTTCTTTAATATGCAATTCATATTATAGTAATTAAATCTCTAATTTCCTTTTGAATGGAATAACCAGCCAACAATGATTAATAGTGAGTGTATTATTGTATTTATCATCTTTGTATTGGTAAACTCAAGTTATTTGAAATCTGTGTGTTTCCAGGTGTGGACAATTGCTGTCATGTTTTTAAGTAAGAAAGTCAAGAGGCTACCTCATATGTTTACAGTCAACCTGTTCTTGGCACAGGTGAGCACACTGTACTCTTTCAATTTATTTGATTTACATGAATTCACTTGACAAAAGAAATCTACCTGTATGTGTAACTTCACATCAGTAATTGCATGTATTTGTTATGCTGTGGTCTTTAGTTTCTAACTTGTATTGGGATGATCGTGTGGAACTTTGTGGTGAAAAAAGACAACTTCATCGGGCAGGTCCTGACTTTCACATTATTATGCACCTCACTCTACAGCACTTATGTGTGGCCAGGTATGCTATGTATGCACACATCAACCTCACATTAAACTGCATTCATTTGTCTTGGTGAACTCGGAAATCTGATTGTAAATTTGATGATGCTTATTTTGTTATTTTAGGTTTGATAGCACTCTCTCTTGTGCTCCTGAAAAGGTTTGAAGATCTAAAAGTCTCACCAGGCGTGTTCGTCATTGCAGGCTGGGGGTGAGTCACAGAAGAACAGAGAAATGAAACTAGGCTATTTTGTCTGGTTCACTGGAAGCTACAACCATAACCAAATGACCTGCCCAAAAGATAAATTGACATGTTGGACAGTTAGCTTTGATTTATAAACATGAATAGGTCACCCAAAACTAAGATCAACAGTACTGAGGTTGATTTTGCAGGGGTAATAACACCTTACTTGAATGTTAACGATCAAACCAATGTATTCACTTCCTGCTAATTTATTCTGCAGTTGAGTGTCATTGAGATGGTGTTTTACATTTTTATACTGTCACTGATTGTGATGTGAATGTAATTTGTCTTTATATTAACAGGGTCCCAGCCTTAGTAACTGCTGTGTTACTCATTTCTGGGGGGAAAATGTCTGACACCATTGACTCGTCATTCTTTTATGGCAAACCACAGGTAACAACATAAGTGGAAATCATTTTCCTGCTTCTTGCTATTTAAGAACTGTTTTTAACCCACATAGAATCACTTTAAATATGCATGTCTGTCCGTTCTATGACAGATAATCTGCACCACGGTTCTAGTTGCCCTCAGTACGCTGCTTGGAGGGGGCTCTCTTGTGTGTCTCAGTAGAGAAAGCTGGGCCCAAAATGACCAAATCCAAGAGGGAAACTCTTCAGAGAATCTTGTGACTGAAGTTGAACCAGAAGACCAGGATATGTTTGAGCCAGTCCCCACATCCGGGGGTCTCAACGGAGGTATGTTCTCTTATGGAGACCATTTATCTGAGGTTTTATTTAACAATTCAACATTTGTTTGAAGATGTCTCTTTAATGAGACTAATTTAGGACCAGGCTGCCAATTACAATAGTTTGGTGATTATAATCACAGCACATGATAATCACTGGAGCATACAGAGGCTGTCCCAGTATCTAAATGGTCTGTCAGTTGTCAAAGCCCAAGTCGGAAAGGAAAGGAAGAGCACAATCAATTATCCAAAGTCAAGACTAAGCCTTATTTACAAGTCGTCTATTGAAAACTGATAAGTAGGCAATGCAATTTCTGCCTGACATTCATCCCCCACACAGATCATTTTCAGTTACTTGAATAGAAAAAAGCCTCTGCAGTTACAAAATCACCCAGTAAACAGTGAAGCAGGTGTCATTATCTGCAGGAACATGATAGGCCAAGTTCCTGATACGTTTAGTTCCTTATTTAAAGCAAACAAGGCAACACTGAACACATATTCTCTTACAAATGATGCTGTAGAAACACAGGACTATAACCCAGCCTCCTTGGCTGAAGTTTGTGAGCTAACATTGCAACACATCTAAGTATTGTAAATATACTGATAGAGGTTTAGTAAGTGCTAGATAGAATGGAGTGGAAGCTGCTGAATTATTAAAAAAATGTCAAATCACAAAGGAAATGTTTATTAAATAAATATTCCTATTAACTCAAGATATTAGAGACATTTTTATGTGAACCAGTGGGATGTGAAGCTGCTTGTACTAGTATTACCCTGTATTGTGTTACTTTAACTCGTGTTTCCAGTCACTCAAAGTCACTCTAATTTTTATCACTCTGTTATCAGAATGCCTCATATGTGAGTGTGCACCAACCCAGCCCATGCCTGACATGATCATCAGCACAAACCCACCAACCACACTCACAGGTACTGTATTGAAAAGCAGACATCCTAAGGGAATTTAAGAATGCATTAAACCCCAATAAGTAACACATATCAGCAACCATAATTATGTAATAATGTACAGCTTTTCTCTAATTTATAAGTATTTAAGAACTTTAAATGTCTGTTCTGCTGCTACCCTCAGATCGGTGTGAGAACAGGTGTGAGTCCACGGACTGCCTGCTTGTCCAAGTGGAGCTTCAACAGGTTGCAGATAGACAAGTGGCTCGTCATTTGCTCTTATGTCTGCTTCTGACTGTCAGCTTGCTTGCTGTGAGTAAACCATCACCTTTCACTCCCACAGTGACGTGAAGTCAGCCTTACTGCCCGCATTATTATATTGAGTGCATCACAAACCGAGTCAGATACAAATGGCTGAGCTGTGTACTCCTGTGAGTCGGCAGAAGGCTTGTCCAAAAAAAAAAAACATTCGAAAATTCTTATGTTAGGATTATTTTTTATCGGTCTTATGTACATACATACATTTATTAAATAAGACTAAATAGTAAATACCAATGTTTTTTGTGTTTCTGTGAATCTAAAAAATGTTGAAAAAAGACACAATTTTAACGTAGTGCAGTCCACATATTTTTCTGTCACTGATGCCTAATGAATTCTCTGAATGCAGTTCATTTTGCTCAACTGGTTCTAGAAACTGGTGCTGTCAACAGGATTTACTAGTTTTACACCTCCAACATAACATCCGTCTTAATTCCTGTTATGACAGAACTTGTCCAGCTGCTTGTGGTTGCTCTTTAACCGTGTTCCTGGTAGACTCTACTTGGAGCTGCAGTTCTTCTGTGCTGTGGTCAACTATGGACAGGTTGGTATTCCAGATACTATAGTAGCAAGATTATGAGCATTAATTCTCACACATTACCAGTGTCATGACATGTTTTCTGTTACCAGGGTTTTCTCTCCTTCGCTCTGTTTGGGCTGGACAAGCACTTAATTATACTGCCATTTAAGAAAAGGTAATGGACATTTATGCTATGAAATGCTGCCACACATTTGAAGTTTTGTATACACACAACATACTGTATATACTGTGTGTACATGCATTTATATTTTGCTTTTGTGAATGGTGTTTAGGTTATACAGTCTGTGGTATGGAAAGAAGCGAGAAGAGCAGCCGCAGACTGATTTACCTGAAGAGATCAGGATGACCTGCACCCAGTTCACCAAATACCACAAGGACCAGTGTTGTCATGACATAGTCAAAAAAAGAAGGTGAGAGCACATAGTCTTACTCACTGCTGCTCTGGTCAGAGGTTGGTGAAAAACTGTCTTGAATAAACATGTTCCCTGATGTGTATAGAAACAAACCCTGGTAGCCATTCACATACCACAATACTGTAAAAAATCATTTAGTGCATGTGGGCTCTGTCTGCTTCTTCTCTACTTTTTGTGGCGACCCTCAATAGACCTTTTGGGTGAATGGCTCTTTTGACTTTCAGATGTGGAAAGAGGACTATGGTGGACTGTTTTCTTGGCTGTGAACTGGTGGAGTGGCTCCAGCAGGTGGGCTTGGCTCAGGACCTTGGTGAGGCGGTACTCTATGGAACGCGCTTACAGCAGGGCGGTGTGCTCCAGCACATCAAGCGGGAATATGACTTCCAAGACAGTCGCCTTTATTATAGATTTATATTATAAGACACACAAGTCAACATTTCTTTTTTACCAAAGGAAAATGGCATTTCAGTCCAGAAAAATTACATCTGTAGGCCAGACAACAAGAACAATACTGACCTTTAAAGAGTACCCGACTGAAAACTGTTGGCACCGCCGTGCTCTGTCCACACCCAGTTCAGTGTAACACAATGCAGAATTGTGTATCTAAGTTGGGTGTTGGAACAGACCACACCCGACTGTGAAATGCCAATAAATAATGCATTGTGTGGAGTAGGTTTAAAGGGAATTAGCAGTGTATAGTATAGTTGTTGTTTTTTTTTAACCACCTGTGTCTTATTTTTGCAGTTTTACATTTGAACATTTCACTCACCAGGTTATTTGCTGAGATTTTGAGTTCTGTCAACATTGCTAAAACAGCCAATCAGGACAGGAACATGATCAGACACGCACACGCTGTTTAGCCATGTGGGAAAACTGCAGGCACAACTACTGCTTAGTGCTGTAGATTAGAGTTCAGGAAGTCTGTCTTCAAATTCTAATAGATGTCTACAACAGACAGATTGGGTAATAAAGTTAATATGATACAGTTTATTTACATGTCAAATAGTCTCTCTGTGGTCCTTGCCCTGTTTGACTGTTGTAGTACTGCACTCTTAAATCAGCAAGGAAGCTGGTGAGTAAAATATTAACCAAACGGGACTGATGGCCAAAACTACAAAAATAAGATGTTTTCAATATACATGCATTTTCAAGAATAACACAACTATTATTATATTATTATTATTATTATTAACTACTATTATTACTAATTTTAAAGGATAAAACAAGACTTAGCTGCTTTTTAAATACTTTTTTTTGCGTAGATTTTTAATCAGTCATGCACTTGGACTTTCAGTTGTTTTATTTTATGTTGTGTCATTGTGTGAGCGATAAAGCACAAAGAGCTGCCTTCAGTTACAACTGCAGGCATTCTGCTTTGCTGAATGTATTATTTCATTTACTGGCACACTTCTGAGTGTATTATCACTCTTCTACCAAAGCCACTTGCCAAAGGAAAAAGGGAAGATGTGGTAAAATCTTCATTCATTCATTCGTTTGTTTGTAGTTTAACTTATTATTTAATGTTTCACCAGTTAGTTAACTGGTAATGTATCATGATTATTGTAGTGTTGATAACCTGCAGTTTAACATGACTTGGCATTAATGTAGAAAACACTGTTCCCCATACACCATTTCAAACAACCTGCCAGTTTTTCCACATTTCCAAGGCCATGTTAAAATTGTTTTAATATTTTTGAAAGTGACAACAACACAAGCAAGCTGCCACTTGAAACATTCAAAAAGCCATCATAATTAATAAGTGATAACATAACATGGCAGCATGGCTTAGTCTGAGTCTCAGAACTCAGGGATTCTAAGACTCAGATTAATCTAACATGTTTACTTGAAAGTGTTTAACTTGAATTTGAAAATGTCCTCCTCCACACAAACTGTATGAACTTTTAGTTGGAAAAGTGCGAGCTGCTGTAAGTTTTTCTCTCAGGTACATGACACAGGTAGAAAACTAACTTTGCTTAAGCGATCATTTTTGTGGCTTTTTTAAGTGCAAATGTTTGTTTTTAATAATAATTCAACAAGAAAATTGTGTTAAAACAATTGTGTTTTTATTCTGTAAAAGATTGCATATTCATGATATCTGGATTTGTTTTAAAAATAAATGTCATTTCTGAACCCTTTATGTATATGTTGTATTTCTGGTCAATGGTTCAATACATAGAATTAAACATTTTAGTCCATATTGTACATGAGATTAAGCAACAAAGTTTTCTGGGCTTTTTTTATACACCAATGCTATTTACTATTCAGTTGTGTTCTGATTTATTATACAAGCCTGTTTGTACTGTAGTAGTAGTAGTAGTAGTAGTAGTGGGCCTTTCAGCTTGTCTTGTACACATCCATCTCCTCCTGAACACAGTTTGTGAACAGATTCACCAAAAGGTCAGGTTCATCAACACCATATAAAAGAGGACCCTCCATCCGTGTCATATTTGTCTTCTCTAGCTGCCTCATACTTTGTGTGATCTTCGTTCCTCTGTCCTATAGACAAAAAAACAATTTGTAAGTACAGTGACCACACTAAGCAAAATTACAAGCTTGGGTAAATTGCAGGCTTGAATTTAATTATTCAACCTTGTAGGATTCAATGATGGCAGCCACCAGTTCATGTTTGACGAACAACTCATGTTTGCGGTCAGGCTTGCTCTGGAAGCGGGGCTTCTTCTTCACTGGGTCATCTGGGCCGTAAGTAGGAGAAGTCGTCTGCGTCAGTGGCTTAAGGTTTTTCACAAAGATGAAAGGTTTGAATATAGACCTGTTGTAAAAAAGGAATACTTATTAAATAATCAGTAACTGCGGTCATAATTTAATTAAAGGATGTTTTATGAGTTAATCTTTGTACCTTTCAGGGTCTGGAGTTGCTGTAAAATAGTGAACTCCTGGCAGAGAATGATCCGTGGGTATCACAGACACCATACTTCCTGTTGTCATGAACATTCCCTCCATGTTGATGCCACTGTCTTTATCCCTCAGGATATCCATCATAGTCTCAGCAGTGATATGACCTTCAGTAAATAATCAACACGTGCATAAACAGTGGAAGAAGTGCAACTTTTTTGCATTTGCATTTTGCATTTCACTAACCATTACTCTTCTCCAGCAACTTCTTCCCCTCACAGTATCGGTTCCCAGCGGCTTCTATTCGGGCTGTAGTCAAGAAGGAGTAGACTGTGGCAAAGTTGAACTGAGTCTCTCCATCCCACCATCCCTTGCTTCGTGCATATTCCCTCATTTCCGGGTGTTCCTTGTCTATCTTCGTCGTTATGCCATACTGGTTCGATATGTTGCGATATCCATCTAGAGTGTAGAGTGTAAAACGAGGTGATAAGCCACTAATAATATCACTTTACTGCTACACATACATGTAATACTATTATTCAACAGCAACCTCAGCAGTGCAATGTGTCATTAGAAAATGATAATCAGTGTCCATCAGCGTCATGCTGTTTTCAAGTGACTTAAATTATGAGTGAAGTAACACAAACACAAAGGGAATGCAGCCATTTAATGCGGAAAACTGAAACAAAAGGCATAATGACGGCTTAGACCGGCAGCTACCATAAATATATACAATATATAGTGTATATATCCATGGACTGCTACTCAGAGAAGGACTTGGCTGCAGACAATATGGCGGACGACAACCACAATGGTCATTAATACATGGGAAATTACAATGTATGTGTAAGAGGAGGACCTTATATATATATACAAAATCTTTTTTTTTTAACTTACATGACCTGAGTATACATGACATTTATACAATATACTGTATATATCTATGGAGGAGGACGAAAACAGCGCCGGGAAGAAGAAGAAGAGTGTTTTTTTCAGACTCAGCAGTCTGTTATACAAGCGTGTAAAATAATGTCTCTGTAATTTTAAAATACTTCCCTCCATAAAACATCCTGCTGAATGAAGTAGAAGTCATAAAATTGTTATTCTAATTATAATAAAACTTATTTTATAGTCAAGAGATGTGAACTAGAGCCCATTTGACTTTGATTCTTCTGTTTTAGAGTTCTTGAATACTGCCTATGTTTCAGAATCATAATCAGTGATTTTCTGTTTATTGTTGAGTACAAAGTATTAATAAGACAGTCATAGTTCTGGAGACCTGTGGTCATACTGATAGGAGCGGGTGTTTAAGGAATATAATAAAAAACACAATGTTAAAATAATACGAGGCCCTGAGTGATATTTCTTTTTCACTCTACAGGGAATGAAGAGATGCTTGTAAAGACTTGCCAGTGAATCTTTTTACACAGTTCAGCTGTGATACGTTTTACAGTGTCATATATACGTATTAACAGGACTTTTGATGACACTATAATAATTTACATGACTGCTTATTGAGGTATAATATCATCATGTGACCTACTGGCCAGCAGGGTCAGCTGGAGAGCTTGCAAAGGTGTTTGATAATGGTAAGATTGCTCTACATTGCCAAAAGTAAACTGTCTGGTCTACATACTCTGTGTACTTATAGTAAGGCCCATGGATTTGGACTTACATGTCCATATAGTTTTAGTTAAGCAGTGTGTGTTGTGCTTCAGTTTGGTAAACAATATTTTTATTATAGGTTGTGGATTTCAAGTACTGTAATTGAGCTTTATAGTAAAACTGAGTAATTAGTCATTACGAACTGGTTTAATTCACACGGTGTATGATCTTGTATCGTGACAATTGATGTCTTACACACTAATAAACAAGCTAGTTAGTAATAAGGCTCAGGTTATACAAACTTTTCCTTCCTGTTATAATTTGGTACAAAACCAAGAGTCAGATTTTCAAACTTCTTTAGAAAAAAAGAAAAAAGTACTTTCATTGTAACTTGTTTAAAATATGTTTGCAAAATGGGGAAACAATGGTTCTTTCATTTAACTAGTCAAAGTTTAAAAAGATATATATATATATTTATTAAAAACCTACTTCTTCTGGCCGTTGATGTCACATGATTTCCTGTCTACAGAAAATCATGTACTCAGGCTACTCAGGGTTGTAAGTATAGTCTGACAGATACTGTATTTTTAAGGCCAAAACCAATATTGACGTTTGAGAGTTAAAAAAAAATGGCTGTTAAGAACTAACAGTTCTTACTAAGTGAGATATGTACTGAGTGGGCGCTCTCTGGTGGACAAACTATGCAATAGCGATACTGATTCTAAACTACCATAGATGTGGCTTTGGCATGTTGTAACTGCCATCTATTCTCAGCTGTCACATACACAGATACCAATATATCTGTGATAAATATATTATCAGCCAATGTAATTAATCTGGTGGGCTCTAATTGCTGCTTGCTCAAATGTGGGCTTTTATTTTGACAGGACAGGTAAAGATAGATATGAAAGGGGAGAGAGAGGGGAGGGAGAGGGGAGGGAGAGGGGAGGGATGACTTGCAGCAAAGGGCCGCAGGTTGGAATCGAACCAGGAACACCGGGACTCCCTTAATGTGGACCCTAATGTTCTTTTAAACTTCCTTAAGAAGCTCCAAGCTTGAGTAACAAAAACTGTAAGCATCCCACTACTGGTTTGTAGTTCAGGTTTTTGGCTTTGACATAATTATGACCTGTTTGTTCTTATTTCTAGAGACATGACTCTAGTGTCTTTAGAAATAGGTGCCTGCCTCTTCTACCTACTTTCTCCCTTTATGTCCCCACTGACCACAGACTGTATATAAATAAACCGACCTGTTTAAAAGGTCTATTTTGCCATAGTTTCTTTCAAATATTACTGCAGGCTAAACATTTAAGTGTCTTTTGAACTCATTCCATTGCATTGTATTTCAAATGGGCACCTATCCCTAGTGTTCTTTATCTGATTACCTTCCACTCTCTCTGCTGCCCAGTGCTTCCCTGACGTCTCCAGCAGCCATGCCTCCGTCCTGTCTGAGATGAGGAAGCTGTTGTGATAGGTGAAGCCACTCTCATCCTCCATGCAAGATCCTCCCTGGCCATATTTCCCCAGCAGCTCTGTAATAACATCCACAGCTTTCTCAGCCGTATCGGCCCTCTCAAGTCCAAGCCTGGAAAATGTGAAGGGTCACAGATTTGTAGGGTCATACAGTTTTTGCTCTGTCTATGTCTGAACTGCCAAAGAATAAGTTACACTAAATTGTTTCTGGGTGGTACTATGTCATTACATGTCCATTCCCTCCTGAAGATGAGGCTGGTTTGAAAAGTAACAGAGGCAGTGTAACACAAACAGTTCATTTACCTGACCAGATCCATGCCGAGAAGAGCTTCGTCTCCATCAGCACTCTCTCTGCCCCACACTGCTTCATTTCCAATGCACACTTGATGCTCATTTGCCCCCATTTCTGCCCCCCACAGCCACGCCGGTCTGCTCAACACAACTGCATACGTGTGGGGGACCTGCTCAATCTCTATGTATGTACACTGTTCACAAGAAGGGGCAAGACACAGGGGCAAAAAGCTGTTAATGGTTATCTAATAGCACATTCACCAAAGAGCACTGTGGGGAGTTGGAGGTTGGAGGGCAATAACAAGCCGTCTGTGTCACCTACCTCAACCTTCTCCCCTGCAGCATAGTCTCCGGCAGGGAAACACACCACCTCCTGGACTTCATCACAGGGCCTGTCCGAGTTTTTCCCAAAAATGACGCGCTGTCCCCCAGTGGAGGGGGGCAGAGCCACGAAGGTGTCACAGGAAGAGGGGAGCATTTTGAATCTCAAACTAGCCAGAGAGTAAACAGAAAGGTTGCATTGTTTACATAACTTACATTTAAAGAACAGATTTGAAGATCATGGCTACTTTAGCATAAATATAACCAATGCAATAACAATAACAGATTTAAAGCTAACTAAATGTCAGCGTCAGATAGCAAGTCAAAGCGCAGTGCTGTGTAATGCTGGGACTATACTTATCATTTAAACAAGTTAACCTTACCTGTGAGTCTTACTGAGCACGGTCACTGTCAGTTTCTAGTTTCATTTCTCTTGCCTCGGTCTCAGTTCACGTTCTGTGACGTAAAACGGTACCGTCACGTGACCGGGCTGAAGTCAGTTTTATATTCGTAGTTAAAGTTGTCCCCGGTCCTCTGTTTAACATTATTATTTATTTATTTTTAATCTGTATTAATCATCCTAGATTATTATTATTAATAGCCCTTGGTATTCCTAGAGGCTCCTGTTATTTAATTTATGTATTTTATTTGTATTTTTAATTTAACATTGCTGAGAGAATTATAATCAGATATGAAAACATTTTATAGAAAAAAATACTGTGTAATTTAATCTGTTGTTTTAATAATCGAAATAGATTAAATAATCTAGTTTAAAGGTTTAAAGATGAAAAGAGGCTGAACTTTTACTTCCGTAGTCCAACGGCGCCCCTCGACTCCAATACAGAACTAACTTCACGCAGACCGATTTGTTTACGACGCTAGCGACTCCGTTAGCTAACATTAACGCTAAACTGTAAACTCAGTTGACGTTACAGGTCGTCAGCCATGGGGAAATCGTTTGCAAATTTCATGTGTAAGAAGGATTTTCATCCTGCGTCGAAGTCAAATATCAAAAAGGTGAGCTAGCTACAGTCATTGAGACTAGAGGACATCAGAGCAGCCTGCTAACTAGCGAGCTATGTTTAACGTATGGCTTTCGCTAGCACAGGTTGCTAACGTTACTTAGCAACACTTTAATATGTTGTGACCTCAGAGTGTACGGTTTATAAAAACAAGACATCTAAGCGACAGTGATTGTTTAAGTCAGCTGTCAGTGTAACGTTAGTAAAGTTAATTTATGTAACTGTTAGTTTATCCTGTGAATAAAAGTATCGCTCCGGTAATCTGAGCTAATCTAAAGGCTCAGTGTTAACTCCAGTTCACTTTGTTGTTGTCTAATTTATTAATAGTCTAATATTATATTCTGAGCATTGTGTCAAAGCAAAAGTTGATCAGTCATGGACCATATATAAGAGCAAGACATCACATCCCGTAATTAATAATTCCCATAAGGATTTTAGTGGAATACAATTAATTATTAGTGGAAATGTAATTGCTCCGTATTTTAATTGTTTACCACACAAACCTTCGTTTCCTGTTGATTTTTGCTAATTGTTTGGTTTAATGTGGGTTTTAATTTGGGTGTCAGTGTTGTTTCTGTTTGTACTGCTGTATGTCCTCCTCAGTGTGTGTGTGTGTGTGTTTTAATAGTGTAACTTTAAATTGTTCATTAATTTGCTTTATGGATGCAACTAATAAGGATTTTAATAACTTTAAGAATGTGTTGTTCAGTCTATAAAATACCAGAAAATAGTGAAAAATTTAGGAACTTGAGAAACCAAAGCTGATGAATGTTTTCCATTTTCATATGGAAAATTATGTATTATAACAGTTTGTTAAATAATTGTAAAAATTAAATTCACTGATCGACCATTCGCGTATTCGACAAATCATCTCTGCTGTAATATGGTTTGAGTGGCAGGTGCAGGTCAGTAATTGCATGTGGGGCTGCACAGGAATTGAACCAGCTTGTAGCCGAGTAGCTTAGGACGTATGTGTATGTCTGCCTGCCAGGCAAGGAAGCTGACCCAAAAAATTAGTAGGAAAGGCAAGACCAGGGTAGAGAGTATGTGTGTTGTAATCCTCCTTTTCTCTTTATCTTTCAGGTATGGATAGCAGAACAGAAACTGACTTTCGAGAAGACCAAGCAAGAAGAACTAATGCAGGCCTATCTGAAAGAGCAGGACACTTACAACAACAGGTTAGATAAATACTGCAGAGCACGGCTACAGAATGAAACCATGTGTCTCCCACAATACTGCTTTCTGAATAACTTCTAATTTAGTTTATTTTTATTTTTACTGTAATGATCAACTGTACATACTGAATATATAAGTTCAACATATTGTCTTCTCACTTCTAGGTTGTTGATGGGCGATGACCGTGTTAAAAATGGCCTCAATTTTATGTACGAGGCTCCACCTGGAGCATCCAAAGGTAAATCATTACTTTGTTTTTTACTGATCTCAAACACCAGTTTTTTGGAAAATAATGTTTTAATACTTGTCATTTGCTTTTGCTTTTTTCTTCATAATTGTCTTCTGCACTGAAGAGGAAAGGAAAGAGGTAAAGTAAAACAAAAAAATCCCTATACAATCCCACAATAAGTATGCATTAAGAACAAGAAGGGTTTATATACTAAAATTAATATTGGAAATGTGTCTGTTTCCAGGATGGGGAAGAAGAGTACAAATTTGAGTGGCAGAAGGTGGCTCCTCGAGAGAAGTAAGAAGCTGATTATTATTATTTTATTTATTTTTGGCATATTGTCCAACGCTCTTCCAGAGTGTACACTGTTTTTATCTTTAATTTTTTCGTGTAGGTATGCAAAGGATGACATGAATATTAGAGATCAGCCGTTTGGAATCCAGGTATGATGGTTTTTTTTCATTTGAAATATATATATACTGAACCAGTGGTTCCCAACCTAGGTATTAATCCAAAGGAGTCACAAGTTGGTGCAAGTGATAATAAATTAAATGAAACAAATGTTACAAAATATTAGTAGGTTTCTCTTAGACTCTCGTAGACTTTTGCATTTTTCTTCTGAAATCATACAAATGAAATGTGAAGTCACACTTATACACACTCAGACCCTAACCTGTGACTACTAGTGGTTGCATGTAGACAGTGATTTGTTCTGAGGTGTCACAAGCTGAATAGATTGGGAACCAATCTCTTATAATTTACACTATAAATTAATTTTACATTAATTACACAACAAGTTTCCAAAACTAAAACCAGAGTTTGTCATGAATTTAAAGTCCAGCACATTTATTGAATGTATTTTACATCATAATAGGATGTTGTCATTATTTAACGATACAGAGAGGATGGTTTTGTTTAAATTGTTTTGCGTACATAATTCAAAGTAATGTCTGTTGTTTACTTCCCAGGTGCGCAACGTAAGATGCATCAAATGTCACAAATGGGGCCATGTGAACACAGACAGAGAGTGTCCTCTCTATGGGCTGTCGGGTATCAATGCCAGCTCTGTGGCCTCCGAGGAGGCAGCAGGTACAGTCCATATATATAATAATTATCACTTTAAACATCTGCAGTTTTATCAATGTAATTAAATGTTAGCGTGCTTTGATATGTATGTAAACAAACTACAATGGTTTTATATACAGATTTTATTTTGATGTTAATTAAACATGTGGAATTGATTCATTGAAATAAGCATCAGCAGGTAAGCAGATTTGATATTTAAATGTCATTTACAATATATAAAACAACTTTAATAGATTTGTTTTCCTGCTGAAATCTGGTTCCCCATATATATACATGTCCATTAAACATTGGTAGCCATAATGGAAAAACAGAAAAATAATTCTATATGGTACAAACAAAAACCATGGAGCCAGAATATCTGTGCTGCCTGTCTAACGAGCGGGTTAGCTTCAGTCTGTCACACACTTTGCAGCCGGTACACCTACTGTATCTTTCCTCTCAGGTTTCAGCTGGAGCTCCCAGGCTCGAGCTGATTCTGAGTTCTGCAATCAGCGAGTTGAGTTGTAAAGTAATAATGTTTACCCTGGGAGAGTCCAGTCAGTGCATGGTGGTGTTGATGGTGGAGTGCTGTAATGGTCCTCCTCCTGTGCCGGGAGAAAAAATGTAATTATTGTGTATTCTGATTCCCCTAACTGCTGCTTTGGCAGAGAATGATATTGTATGATTTGCTCAGCCGGAAGTGGAGTGAGTTGATTTGATGTCCCATTCTGTTAACAAAGCCGCCCCTGAAATTCCCACTGTGGAGATAGTGGTTGGCAATGGTTTGACATCAATGGGACTCTGAGGCTGTGATTTGTGCTAACAGGTCCGTCGATGCACCCCTCGGAGTTAATGGCAGAGATGCGAAACAGTGGGTTTGCCTTGAAAAAATGTGTCCTTGGTAGGAATGCTACTGTTTGTGATCCATCGCAGGTAATTGTCTCTCTCACACTCCCATCTTTGCCCACATAGGATGATATATATGAACACACACACCTTCAGAGAGGAAAGACTAAATATATCTTTGGTATGTCTGTAGCGTATATAAATTCTGCAGAAGGGGACAGTTATTCTGGCAATTTATGTCAAGTGAACAGATTAGATTTTTTTTTTTAATGTTACCATTGTTTAAAGGCGTTTCACTGATCTAATCAAATATAGATTTGCCTTCAAGAGACGTATCTATCTGCATGTTGTCGTTTTGATTTCAGGGCAGATTGTAATGTCTCTGTAATTTTACAGGAATATGTTGCCAGTGAAGAAGAGGACGATCCCGAGGTGGAGTTTCTGAAGTCATTATCAACAAAGCAAAAACAGAAGCTCCTCAGGTAAAAATGTAGCACAGTTTACAAATGTCACTGTATGAAAGCTTTAAGGATTAGAAATGACATTCCATTTTGGTTTTTTTACGTTGTTTGATTATTTTATACCCTCATATTGATTGTGTAAGCGGAGGGGAAATCTCGATAAATGATCTGATGTATTAGTGATGTTTTCTTATACATTTTATTTTGAAATTAAAAATAAATGTAGCCTAGTATATCAGGTGTAAAAATATTTTTTCCATTGTGTTTTACTTTCCTTAAACTTTCCTGTCATTATGCTAATGCTGTGTTTGAGAATGTTAATTAAATGTTGTTTTTTGTTTGTTTTACAGAAAACTCGACCGCCTGGAAAAGCAGAAGGCCAAGAAAAAGAAGAGCAAAAAACAGAAAAAGAAAAGCAAAAGAAAACACAAGAAAAAGCATGAAAGCAGTGAGAGCTCCAGTGACTCCTCCAATAGCAGCAGCAGCAGTAGTAGTAGTAGTGATAGTGGCTCCGATTCAGACAGCCATGGCAAGTTCAAGAGCCAAAAGAGAAAGAAGAACAAGAAAAAAGATTCCTGTCGGGATAACAGCTCTAAGAGCGAGCGGCAAGTCAAGAGTCAGAAAAAGGCCTCCTCTCATAGGAGCAGGTCACCGAGCCCTCGCACTAGACAGAAGCGGCCTGAAGAGGAGTCCGGAGATTATAGACAAACAAGGACAGAGAGGGGAAGGAGCAGGAGTCGACAGCGCAGCCCAGAGAACAAGATCAAGCTGGAGGGAGGTCAAGAGAGAAAGAGACACAACAGCAGGGACAGGCAGAGACCTAGCAGCTCCAAGTCTGGCTTGGACAGAAGTAGGAGCCACGAGAGAGGCAGGGAGGACAGAGGTAAAGACAGGCGTCACAGTAGAGATGGTGAGAGGAACAGAAGTAACACAGATGGAAGGAAGGGCAGAACAGCAGATGGGAGGAGCAGAAGCAGGGAAAGGAGGAAAGAAAGGGAGGGAAGGGGAAGAAGTAGGAGTAGGGAGAGAAGCCAAGACAGAGGAAGAAGAAAGCACTGACTGTGTTTTTTCCCCCCTGTTTAAAATATTGGACAAGTAGTAAAACAGTTTTTAGTTCAGTGACTGTCATGTAGTATTCTTGGTAATCAGTGTCCCTCATATTTAAAATCGCAGTGGGTCTCATTTTCCTCCAGTAGAGGGAAGCAGTGGACAGAAAATATGTGGCTGCAGCTCATTGCGCTCTTGTGTTGTCTTGGATTGTATGAAAGGGTCTAAATTAATTGATTACCATTAGTAGCAATTTGCAGCTGTGATCCGTTGATGGGAAAATGTTGGACTCATTTTAATGGTCAGTTGGCGACAAGAAAGACTTTTTCTGTTGCTGCAGTTTTTTTTTTTTTTTTTAACCTTAGTTTCATTATTGTGTCTTTTTGGAAATATCAACTCTGTAAGCTGTACTGTCTGGACGGCTGTTGATTCCTGAACATAATAATCAGGACTTTTATTTTCTCATTAAATTTTTAATCATCTCAATTTGATGCGTTTATTTGCGATGAATGTGGATTTATCTGTTGATTGATTACCGTTAGTGTATTCCTATTAAATACTACATTTTATTTAAGTTCTGTGCACCTGATAGCAAATTATAACACTTTTGCACATATTAATATTTTTAAAAGAAATAACGTTTCAAAAGATTTTCCGGCCGGTTTATCTGAATTTAAATGATATAATGTGCGTTAAAGCTGTGAAATATGTCCTGGTGGGTGTTTGCGGGCGTCAGCCTGAAACAAAACAAATATGATTTCTGTCCAAATATCCAGCCTGTAAATGCAGCCTATAAGAGGTAAAAGCAAGCAGTGGCCGGATATAGATAAAATAACGCCGCAGTGAGCTATATTTTATATTAATGCAGTGTAGATAGTGTAGTAATAACTGTGTAGAATTTGAAAAGCTTAGTTATTCTATTTTTAAATCTAAAAAATAGAATAACTAAAAATTATCTATTTAAATTGGACAATTCTTTCTTCCTGTTATTCACATTTTATTCACATTAATTTTAAAGCCTAAAATTCCTTATTTTATTTGACATGTTGCGTCTCTAAAATGTCGAATCGAAAAAAACGATTTAAATATGAGTTTAAAAAAAAAGATCAACAATAAGATTTTTATTTCAAAAATAAATTTACTTAAAAAGCTTAAATATCAACATTTTTTCTAAAGTGTTGCTTCTGGTTGGTCGTTTTGTATTTTGATGAAATTCAAATTGGCGATCTAATTTGGTAGTTTTCAGTATGTGGCCGTTTCCTTGAAGCCGCTGTTGCACAAAAGGAAATGAAAATAATTTCCCTCTATTGCCTTCTGGTCAATTTAACATCCTCTCGAAAAAAAAAGAGGCTGTCTGGATGAGATGCTTTTCCCTGACGTATTCCCAGTCCTGGACTCACGCTGTAATTATTCCCCGGCTTTTTCTTTGAGAGTCGGACGCTGCACTGGGTAAGCACAAAGAAGTCAGAGAGCATCCTTGAACCCTTTCAGTACGGGCCCACTGATATTCAAATAACATGCAGACACCATTTGACTGCGCTGAGCAAAGAGCATTTCAAATTCAAACATTTGCATGTGACTCTTTGCCCCTTCTTTTTTTCTCCTAAAGTTTAAAAAACTGTTCCCATAACATCTATGTGGTTTCTGGCAAAGAGAAAGAAGCCATATCCTCATTCTCGGTCCATCGATTGGTATGCAAATGAAAGCAGTTAATTTGGACAATTAGAATAAATATTCAGGGGACCTTTGTCATCAAACCCCCTTGGAAACCCCCCGATAAAGTGAAACTGAACAAAAGATGTCTCGGAGATTAATTAGATATTTGATAAGACACGAATCCCTAATCGCAAATACAAGACACATGGGGCTACGATGTGCTCCAAGTCATAATTAATACCATTTAACAAGATTTTCATTTGGGCATGAAATGTTTTTTTCCGGGGCATTAAACATTGATTTATTCCATAGGGGAAGTCAAGGTATTATAGGTGATTTTAAGAAAAATGGGACTATGAACTGAACTCACGCTTTAAAAATAAATTAAATAAAATTATTGTTCAAAATAAAAACCTAACACACAAAAGAAATATATATATATAAAATCTGCATCACACAATTACAGCCTTTTTTAAGATGTTTTAATTACGATAAAATGAAAGTCTTATACGTGTGACTTTATACAGGTAAACATTTATATATAGATATTTTTTTAGCAAAGAAATAAAATGATTAACCAAAGATGAAAAAGCTGTGTACATACATATCCACAAAGTGCGTCGAAAGTAAACTCCCTGATTATCCAGGATACCAACACGAATAAAACAATCATAGCCTAACATTTACATGAAAATAACACATAGTTTAGTCGTCAATATACAGGATGTAACTCACATTGTCCAACCAAAGTTCAACAGGTTTCGCGCACCTTTTAGCCAACATCCATTTCATTTTCAAGTTGCCCCTAAAAATTCCCAAAGGCCTACAGTAAATCACTGGCTTTTTCTTTAGATGGATTTACGAATGAAATACTCGCTACGCCTGTGGAGAATATATTTTTTAAGACTTTGCAATCGCTTCTTGAAATATTTTCTCCTTTTTATTGTCTGTCAGATAAGACCCGTTTTCAATGCTGTGCAGTTTTTGAATCTGGTTTGATATTTTTTTTGGGGGGGTGGGGGTGGGTGAAGGGCTCATTAGGGCTCGTCGTGAGGAGACGGATCCTTAACAGTGATTCTGGGGTTTACCCCCTCCAAAATAAGTTCTGGGGACTCGGACCTCGGGGTCTCCAGGTTACTGGTGTCGGTGTCACTGTCGCTCCCCTTTTTGCCTCCTCCACCGGCCGTGTGCGTTTTGATGTGCTTGCTCAAATGGTCACTCCGCATAAAGCGCTTGTTACACACCGGGCAAGCAAACCTTTTCTCGCCGGTGTGGGTGCGAAGGTGTCTCTGGAGCTCATCGGACCGAGTGAACCTTTTGCCACAGAAAAGCCAGTTGCAGACAAAAGGCCGCTCGCCGGTGTGCCATCTCAAATGCGCTTTGAGGTGAGATGTCTTTCCGTACACTTTACCGCAGCCGGGAATGTGGCAGCTGTGGAGTCCCTTTCTCCGCAGGCTGGCCCCGGCGGGTCCCAGGCGCTCGGCCTCCTGGCAGTTCGGACAGTCACATGTTGCTCTGCCGGAGTACCGCCTGGACGACCTCGAGGAGCTACTTATTCCTGAACTGCCCCCAGAAATCATGGCGTTGGCGGCGGACGCGTCTGTGTAAGTGGGGATGACCGTTTTGAAACCGTCCTGCGTTAACAGGTGCTGACTGGTGGACAGTAGATGAGACGCAGAGGGGCTGATTCCAGTGGAGCTAAACGCCGAGTGGGTCAGCGAGGAAAAGTCCGGGTTGTAGCCACTCAGCTGGGAGTGGATCGCTTGAGGCGTCCCGGAGTGCAGTGAGGTCTGGAGGGTGCTTGCAGGATTCTGGACATCGAGCCACGAGCCGGGATTAGTGTGGACATCCCACCACGAGGACGCGCCGTTGGCAACATCGCCAGAGATGGTCGAGTGGAAACCGGACTTGTACCACGACTCGTACGGGTGCGCCATGCCCACCCGCGGGTATAGAGTCTCTGCTGATGTGTGGACTTTGGAGATAAAAGCTGACTGTCCAGACTCTTGGGATGTGACGCTCGCAGAGTTGGAAAACAGACCGCTGTACTCTGTGGAAAACGCAGACGAGGTCGGGGAGGTGGAGGCTAAGCAAAAGGCGCTGTTGCCTGTGCCACTGGTCGGTGTTAGTCCTGTCGACGCGCGGCTTGTTGCTACTGTGAAACCGGGCAAGCTGGATCCCAAGTTACAGCTGGAGGAGGATCTTTTCCACGGATGAAATCCACCTTTTGAGAAAGCGCTCGAGTCAGGTAAAGTTGTAAGGGGACTGGTGTTGCCAATTTTGTTGCAAGTTGCAGCCAGCATTGCTAGAGGTGTAGTTCCAAACCGTGGTTCTTCCTGAAAAAAACACACACAGAAGTTGGACTTAAAACAGGCAGCAGCAAATGTTTTTCGTTTAACCCAGATGGCTGGGAAGTGGGCGACTGATTCACAACAAAACAGGACTTCAGCAAATAAATTATAACGATTATTCATTATTAAAAGTATAATTTGAGCTTAGATGAACGGGTTTTGAGAGAAGAGCAACAAGCGTAGCATATAACATTAAAACAGCAATAATGATTAAACATTTTTACAAACTTAGAATATAAACTGCGTTTGATATCGGCTGTGAATATACGATGAGGAGAAAATACAAAAAACAACACAAAGTTGGATCGGAGCTGGTTAGATTTGTATTTTATCGGCATTTAACTGTTTTTTTTAATGATAAATAACTACCGAAACGGGTAAATAAACTGTAAATAAGGCAGCAATAAACCACAACTGCAGACATGAAAGCAAGCATGAGTTTATGAGAGCAGGAAACACTTTCTGTTGCAGAGAAAAACAGGCTACAATAACTTTACGCACAACTTTTGCGCACAAATACAAAGTCAGACTCACCCCAAGTATAGACGTAGCCATATCCAGGGTCTGTGCTGTGATGAGAGTGTTCGCGATTGCAATGCTGTACGGCTCCAATTTGACTCAGACTCACCGTGTTTGACTCGGGTCACACGGTTTCTTTCTTGGCTCGCAGCTCCCAACACTACCTAGTTGTAGAGAGCGTGTTCTTTGAAGTACAGCTGGCGAGGACGCGCAGCCAATCTAATGGCCGCATTCATGGCTGGGGATGAAGTCAGCCAATGAGAGACCCGACCGCAGACAGAAACACCAAAAACCCCGCCGTCAATCATCTGTTGTGCAGCCTCTGCTCAGACTGTCATACAAGACACGATTTGGTATTTTTTTTAATGCATACAGTTATTTTTATGTATTCTCACACGAAGGCTCAATGTCTCCTTTCATTGCAGAATTGAGTTCACACGTCAGTTCTCCGAGAGGTAAGCTTTTTCCGTCATTTTAAAGCGTTTGTGGATTGTGGTGACACTGTGTGGTTCCAGGTTTCCCCTTTTTCTGATTTTCAGTATCCAGATCATGCGCAGCACGTCATTGAGATATAGTTGTTATTTAAGCACATAGTATCCTGATCAGTGTGAGGGACGCTGCTGTTTGCTGATGACTTTATCACGCCGGTGCATTGCTTGCCGTGTGTCAGGCACCGGCTCGGTTTTACGCACGGAGGGGAAACAACTGATGTTATTATGCTCCATCTTACGTTTTCGAAGCGCTGGTGTTTCATATTGGGGGGGGCACAGCTGGATTAAGTTTAGTGAGGAAGTCCAGAACCAGGCCCTGACAGCACAGACCTCACTCCTCCAACCGCGGCGAGAACATTTAGAGAAAGCCTGTAAAACGATTCAATGCATGAAGGAAAAACAGACTGGGACTCGTAATTGATCAACTAACCAACAGTTTGTTTACTTCCAGCCAAAATTGACGCGCGTC